GTATGTGACAATGATGGTGGGAGTATGTGACAATAAAGGTGGGAGTATGTGATAAATGATGGTGGGAGTATGTGACAATAAAGGTGGGAGTATGTGACAATGATGGTGGGAGTATGTGACAATAAAGGTGGGAGTATGTGACAATGATGGTGGGAGTATGTGACAATGATGGTGGGAGTATGTGACAATAAAGGTGGGAGTATGTGACAATGATGGTGGGAGTATGTGACAATAAAGGTGGGAGTATGTGACAATGATGGTGGGAGTATGTGACAATAAAGGTGGGAGTATGTGACAATGATGGTGGGAGTATGTGACAATAAAGGTGGGAGTATGTGACAATGATGGTGGGAGTATGTGACAATAAAGGTGGGAGTATGTGATAAATGATGGTGGGAGTATGTGATAAATGATGGTGGGAGTATGTGACAATGATGGTGGGAGTATGTGATAAATGATGGTGGGAGTATGTGACAATGATGGTGGGAGTATGTGATAAATGATGGTGGAAGTGCTTAACTATCAGTAACTACAGAGGAGTGAGATCTAGCTCTTTATACCCTGCCTCCTAGCCATTTATATATGGTGCAGAAATTACCACCTCATAATATTAATTTTATCATATTTCTTTTTAAAGTTGTGGATGAAATGCTTCAACAGTCTCCTTTTTTTTCAATACATTCCACTTTCTTACCACCTGTACAGGAAATGAGAACGTCCTTACATCTCTTCAACTCAATTGCATATCCAGCTTCCAATGATGTTCCCTCATCCTACCTCTTTTTAATTTAAATAGGCTTCTTTAATCCACCTTATCTATTCCACTCAAGATCTTATACATACTTATATCCCTTTCTTTCCTCTTTCCTCTAAGGTTGTGAGGGAGAACTCTCTCAACCTGTCTTCATAGCTGAGGCCTCTCAATTCTGGTACTAATCTACTTGCAAATCCCTTGAACTTTCTCAAGTTTGTGTTTATTGTTCACAAGGTGTGGGTTCCATGCCGGAGCTGCATACCTTGCCTCTGCCCTTTTAGCTACCTCTGCAGAATTGTAATTCACTTTTGTAAACACACATTAATGACACTGTGTAAAAAGACACCTCGAACACTATTTACGAAGGACAGATGTAAATTATGTATTTATGTTTGTAGGTTAGATTAGCATTTTAAAAGCACTACAATCACTTTGTGGTTGATTGCTCAATAAATCACTGAGCTATATGTTTAACAGATCTCTAAACCTGTCCATGGAGGACAGAGGAAAAAGTATATATGTTGATTAGCATTGTAAATGTCTGGCCACATCTGTGGTTGAAGGAAAAACAAACAAAAGAAAACTACCTACGTCTGCAAAGGTCGTCCTTCCTGGCTCCTGACCTCATTGTTTCATCTCCTGTACCATATTTGTGTAATGTTTCTGCTGCTGCTTCTCTCGTTGCATCCTTTGCCTTCTTACCTACCTCTATTACTACCTTAGTGCAGTGCAGTGCAAATGTTTTAGTGCAGAGGTAGCTAAAAGGGCAGAGGCAAGGTATGCAGCTCCAGCATGGAACCCCCCCTTCTTCTCTTCTTCCACTTGCGTCTCCACCCTATGGTTCTTTCTTCCACTTCATCCACCCTTTCTTCTTCTTCTTCACTTGCGTCTCCACCCCTTCTTCTCTTCTTCCACTTGCGTCTCCACCCCTTCTTCTCTTCTTCCACTTGCGTCTCCACCCCTTCTTCTCTTCTTCCACTTGCGTCTCCACCCCTTCTTCTCTTCTTCCACTTGCGTCTCCACCCCTTCTTCTCTTCTTCCACTTGCGTCTCCACCCCTTCTTCTCTTCTTCCACTTGCGTCTCCACCCCTTCTTCTCTTCTTCCACTTGCGTCTCCACCCCTTCTTCTCTTCTTCCACTTGCGTCTCCACCCCTTCTTCTCTTCTTCCACTTGCGTCTCCACCCCTTCTTCTCTTCTTCCACTTGCGTCTCCACCCCTTCTTCTCTTCTTCCACTTGCGTCTCCACCCCTTCTTCTCTTCTTCCACTTGCGTCTCCACCCCTTCTTCTCTTCTTCCACTTGCGTCTCCACCCCTTCTTCTCTTCTTCCACTTGCGTCTCCACCCCTTCTTCTCTTCTTCCACTTGCGTCTCCACCCCTTCTTCTCTTCTTCCACTTGCGTCTCCACCCCTTCTTCTCTTCTTCCACTTGCGTCTCCACCCCTTCTTCTCTTCTTCCACTTGCGTCTCCACCCCTTCTTCTCTTCTTCCACTTGCGTCTCCACCCCTTCTTCTCTTCTTCCACTTGCGTCTCCACCCCTTCTTCTCTTCTTCCACTTGCGTCTCCACCCCTTCTTCTCTTCTTCCACTTGCGTCTCCACCCCTTCTTCTCTTCTTCCACTTGCGTCTCCACCCCTTCTCTTCTCTTCTTCCACTTGCGTCTCCACCCCTTCTTCTCTTCTTCCACTTGCGTCTCCACCCCTTCTTCTCTTCTTCCACTTGCGTCTCCACCCCTTCTTCTCTTCTTCCACTTGCGTCTCCACCCCTTCTTCTCTTCTTCCACTTGCGTCTCCACCCCTTCTTCTCTTCTTCCACTTGCGTCTCCACCCCTTCTTCTCTTCTTCCACTTGCGTCTCCACCCCTTCTTCTCTTCTTCCACTTGCGTCTCCACCCCTTCTTCTCTTCTTCCACTTGCGTCTCCACCCCTTCTTCTCTTCTTCCACTTGCGTCTCCACCCCTTCTTCTCTTCTTCCACTTGCGTCTCCACCCCTTCTTCTCTTCTTCCACTTGCGTCTCCACCCCTTCTTCTCTTCTTCCACTTGCGTCTCCACCCCTTCTTCTCTTCTTCCACTTGCGTCTCCACCCCTTCTTCTCTTCTTCCACTTGCGTCTCCACCCCTTCTTCTCTTCTTCCACTTGCGTCTCCACCCCTTCTTCTCTTCTTCCACTTGCGTCTCCACCCCTTCTTCTCTTCTTCCACTTGCGTCTCCACCCCTTCTTCTCTTCTTCCACTTGCGTCTCCACCCCTTCTTCTCTTCTTCCACTTGCGTCTCCACCCCTTCTTCTCTTCTTCCACTTGCGTCTCCACCCCTTCTTCTCTTCTTCCACTTCTCCACCCCTTCTTCTCTTCTTCCACTTGCGTCTCCACCCCTTCTTCTCTTCTTCCACTTGCGTCTCCACCCCTTCTTCTCTTCTTCCACTTGCGTCTCCACCCCTTCTTCTCTTCTTCCACTTGCGTCTCCACCCCTTCTTCTCTTCTTCCACTTGCGTCTCCACCCCTTCTTCTCTTCTTCCACTTGCGTCTCCACCCCTTCTTCTCTTCTTCCACTTGCGTCTCCACCCCTTCTTCTCTTCTTCCACTTGCACTTGCGTCTCCACCCCTTCTTCTCTTCTTCCACTTGCGTCTCCACCCCTTCTTCTCTTCTTCCACTTGCGTCTCCACCCCTTCTTCTCTTCTTCCACTTGCGTCTCCACCCCTTCTTCTCTTCTTCCACTTGCGTCTCCACCCCTTCTTCTCTTCTTCCACTTGCGTCTCCACCCCTTCTTCTCTTCTTCCACTTGCGTCTCCCCCCTTCTCTCTTCTTCCACTTGCGTCTCCACCCCTTCTTCTCTTCTTCCACTTGCGTCTCCCCCCTTCTTCTCTTCTTCCACTTGCGTCTCCTCCCCTTCTTCTCTTCTTCCACTTGCGTCTCCACCCCTTCTTTATCCTTTAGTTCTTATAATGTCTTTAATTTCTTCCACAGTGCCTTCATTTGCTTTTCTCTCCTCTCTCATCCTGATCTTGATTTGAATTATATCCCACATTGCATGTTTATTTATTTTGATCTCACAAGGTTTTCCCAATATTTCACCATTTCTTTCCCTTCTTTACTCCCTATAGTTATCTCATGTTACGATCCATTATATTTCTTATTTCCCATCCATTATATCTCTTGTTACCATTATATTTCATCACTCTTCCTTTCTTTTCTTTCCCATATGTCTTGCCAAAGAAACTGCACGTCAGGTATTTTTTTGTAGCCAATTTTGCAGTACAAGAGTGAAGAGACTATATCTCCTCATCCCCAAGTCACTGACCGATAACTGGTGAGTTGCTCCTTGTCCTCTCTGCCATTCTGTTTTTTTTTAGGTTAATTTTTTCCAGTGGTGCTTTTCCCACTGTGGTGCCCTACTCACATTTGTTTTCTTTGCTCTTTAATCTGATGGCTTCACTATACCCTATTTTGTTGATCAATTCACTTATTACTACTTCTATAAAACATTTCTATGTCTACTCATGTGGTTACTTTGCCTCTTAACTCAATTTTTCTTCCATCTTTCACTATTAAATGTTCTTCTGTTGTTGCTTCATGTTGTGTATTAAACATAAAGAATAATTTTCTCCACAGAAAAACTTTGAATGGTTGGCTACCTCACTTGTTTACCCGCACCTTATCTCAGGTCCTGCCTCACACCATTTCACTGCTCACCGTGTGCTACTGCACTATTTCCATCAAAAACACTATTTCTGCATTGTTTCTTTAACGTTTTAGGTTTCTGTCGGCTTGCCAGACATTCATTCACTATTACGCACTTTAACTGTGACATTGCGTGGTTTTCCCTCCCAAATTACTAAAAACACAAACCCCCCCCCAGACCTCAACCACCCCTGTGTGACAATGGTGGTGGGAGTGTGTGACAATGGTGGTGGGAGAGTGTGACAATGGTGGTGGGAGAGTGTGACAATGGTGGTGGGAGTGTGTGACAATGGTGGTGGGAGTGTGTGACAATGGTGGTGGGAGTGTGTGACAATGGTGGTGGGAGTGTGTGACAATGGTGGTGGGAGTGTGTGACAATGGTGGTGGGAGTGTGAGACAATGGTGGTGGGAGTGTGTGACAATGGTGGTGGGAGTGTGAGACAATGGTGGTGGGAGTATGTGACAATGGTGGTGGGAGTGTGTGACAATGGTGGTGGGAGTGTGTGACAATGGTGGTGGGAGTGTGTGACAATGGTGGTGGGAGTGTGAGACAATGGTGGTGGGAGTGTGTGACAATGGTGGTGGGAGTGTGTGACAATGGTGGTGGGAGTGTGTGACAATGGTGGTGGGAGTGTGTGACAATGGTGGTGGGAGTGTGTGACAATGGTGGTGGGAGTGTGTGACAATGGTGGTGAGGATATGAGACGATGACAGTGGGTGTGTGACAACAGATGTGGCAGATGGAGGTAACAATGACAACAAGGTATTTTACTGAACCCTGTATGAAAATAAGATAAGAATAATAGCTGTTGTCAGAGTTGAAGACAGAATGAAAATGGTCATAAGAGTGAAGATATTAATGAGAGTTATTTTTAAGACTGCACGTACAAATTACAGTGATCACTAGACTGTAGGAAATAATGATTAATAACTACTGGACTGCTGGAAGAAATGACAACTGCTACTAAAGAATTTGGCAAGAGATGTAGGAGTAAAAGATCAGACAAGCAACAGTGTGGATGAAGGAGTGATCAAAGATGAAAACAATGGAAAGAATGGCAACAGCTAATAGAGTGCAGGTAAGGATGGCATAGGTCACGAGAGTACTGTACAAAGGTGGTGATCATTACCATGGATATTTGAAAGCTAGACTATGTTGTCAGAGAGGCAAAACAACACCACAGTCAACTATTTTCACCTGCCTGATCTCACGCATGCAGACTGCTTGTCTCACCACCCCTAGGCCACTCTCCACCTGACCTAAGACAGCTTGCTTTACACCTGCAGTGTGGATTCTTGTAATGATGTAGAACTGTGCTGCTGTTTGATGACTCTCCTTCCTCCCTGTCACCGTCCCCTCTGTCCACTTTCCCGAACACTGTGCGGACATCAGGCCCTGCTGTAGTGCTGCTCCCCCATTTCCGTCATTATGCTCATAGTCCCCTGCCAGCACTCCTTCCTCGTGAGCATGCCTGAACACCCCAATGAAACAGGTGTTAGCGTAAGTGGGGCCGTGCTGACCAGTGCACAGGGCAAGAAACTGCTGGGCCCAGGGGTTGGTGGTGGTGTTGGAGAGGCGGATGTAAACTCGGCCTCCAGGTGCACTGTCCCAAGCTCCGAGTGTGTTTTCCCACATCAGATCCAGGAACACCAGTGTAGAGGCAGCATCCAGCACACTCATCAAGTGATTGTGCTGAAGGAAACACACACACATTAGGTTAAGTATCTCATCTAGATGGTAAACAAACATTTTAGGTTCACTGTACTCAGACTTCCAACCAGGCTTATCACTTCACTGTGCTACAGGAAATATACAATTCATTAATATGCTAACAGTTAGCCTACATGACCCAGTTCACTTTAATGTCAACATAATTAATTTGAAGGGTGCATACTCTACGTCATAGGTGTGCATTTCATGACCAACCTCACCAACTGGCAGCACTGCTATCGAACACTCACTCACTATTGTTCTAGGGGCTTAGTAAACAGATGAGGACCATATCTAGCACATCACCGTCCAGTGTTTGAATGTACAGGGTGGCTATAGTAGGAGCCTTTGAACTTTTAGCAACAGCAAACAAGTGATTACCATGTACATATTTACAGGCAAAATGTATGTTTATGTAATTATAAGATTTAGGCTTATATATGTTAGTATGAATAAATACAAGGTGTGCGTATATTTATACATATACTGTACTATAACTGAACATACGTATATTTTCAAATTTGTACATAATGAACACCACCTTCGACACATCAATGAAACCCGTTAGCATGAAAAAATAAATAAAAAAATAAAGTGAGAAACAATGAGAATATCTAATAAGCCGTTAGATATTCTCATCTGGCATCTTACCTCGTTTCTATTGAAAAATTGCAAATTCTCCAGGCCACTACAGCTTTACCACAAGAGGTACACACATCTTATTTGGATTTTCATGCTTCCTGGATGCTAATTATCGATGTCAAAAGAAAAAAATCAGTATATATATTGTTTGTGCACATCAGAGTCAGTACTCTGATGTAACCTAAGGGAGCCGGTCGGCCGAGCGGACAGCACACTGGACTTGTGATCCTGTGGTCCTGGGTTCGATCCCAGGCGCCGGCGAGAAACAATGGGCAAAGTTTCTTTCACCCTATGCCCCTGTTACCTAGCAGTAAAATAGGTACCTGGGTGTTAGTCAGCTGTCACGGGCTGCTTCCTGGGGGTGGAGGCCTGGTCGAGGACCGGGCCGCGGGGACACTAAAGCCCCGAAATCATCTCAAGATATACCCCCCCCCCCAGAAACAGCTGAAGGCAGGACCACACAGCTGCAGCAACACCGCCAGAGGGAGAGACATGGAAGCGGTCCGAGAGTCCCACACGAGGCCCAGTCAGGTCCAAACCTGGGACAGAATCATGTGGGACTTCCTCCAGTTCACCAGGAACCTAAACCCGGGAAAGAACCTGGGAAAGAACCACACCCTGGTGAGCAGACAAGCAGACTGGCTGGGAGCCCACACCAACCACTCATCGAGGTAGGCCAAAACCCGAACCCCTAGAAGATGCAAACGAGGTCACTACGACCCGGTAGGACACATGAATACGCGAGGTGCCAGATTCAAGCCAAAAGTAAGGCAACGAAAGCGATAAGCCTGCCGCCCCACAACGAAACCTAGCCAGTCCCTGAACCCGGCTCCAACAGAAGCCAGACCCGGGACATAGTGGTCATCCAAAAAGAGGGGCAAGGAATCCAGGCGGTTCAGACGGGACAAGTTCAGCATGAACCGCAGATCCGCACAGTCTCATTTCAGCACTGGAAACAGGCGGGAAACCCACCTGAAGGACGGGGTTATTCTAACCACGCCCAAGCGCACCCCACTCCAAGATGACCCATGAAGTGAAGGGGAAAAAACCTCTCCCGCCAGCCTTGAACCAAACACAGCCTTGAGCAAACAGCGTCAGCCTTGTCCCCATCAACGGGGCGACCCGCAAAAGGGCCGACGAGCAGTGAGCATTGTGCCGATCAAACGATGCCGGCTCAGAAACTGACACCACGAGCCTACCCCGACAGGAAGAACCTCGAGCCCTGGCACGACCCTGCCGAGATGCCCAAGAAAGGCTACCCTGGAGAAGCAACAAATCCGACACAGAGGTTGCACAACTAGACGAGGCCGCCTGCAGAAACTGAGTGACGGCAGTTTCTGCAAACAGCAATGTACAAAAAGAGGATGAAAACCTAAGAACCAGGGACCAAACAAAATCCAAGGAGAGAGCGAGCACGGACTGGCGACACGCAAGGCGAGAGGCAAAGAACGGAAACACTGCCTCCCTGAGAATCGCCGCAAACAGCTTCAACAGCGCGGCTGTTGCCCTAGCTGCCGAGGCCAGTGCCCCAGACGAAGGCCCAGCACTCAATACCTTTACATCCTCCCCAAGCCAGTCCGAGGACAACTCAAGAAGGAAAAAGAAGCGCAAGACAGAGGCCAAATGCCTGCGAGCACGCAAATCCTCAGCCACCAAGGATGCCGAAAGGGTGGGAACCTGCACGTGCAGCTGTACAAGGCCAAAATTCTGAGGAAGCAAAGGGGCGAATAGGCACGCATAAAGGGGCTCAAACTCGCCCCTCAAGTACACCTGCAGAATAGTAGCAGTCTCCCGCCATTCAAGTGTGCCGGTCCGACAAAACCCATGCCATGCTCCCTATGAAAAGAAAGGGCAGTCTGAAAGCCAGGATGACTCCGGAACCTCACAATGCACCCAATAGAGGAAGGAAGAATCGTACTCAAACGAGGACGGTTCCATCACAGAGGCAAAATCTGGGTCACACAGATAAGCCGCAAGAGCCTCCCAAACCTCTCTAGACAGGATTCAAGAGGCAAAAAACCACTGGAAATAAGGAGCCGAGGAACCCATGGGAACCCGGAACAGAACCCGGGGAGGAGCCGACCCCAAATCATACTCATACAAGGAAGGGGGGTAAGAAAACCCCTCCCCCTATAACAACAAACCAAGCAAAGAGAGCACCAAAACCCAAGCGGGATCAAAGGGGACCCAAGCCCCACAGGTCAACTTCTTCCTAGCCCTGGGAGCCTCCAAACCAGGCCCTGGGGCAGAGCCATCCTCCACGCCCTCTACCCCTGAAGAAAAGGCAGAGTTCAGGTGAAAGGCAGCGAAGAAGGGGGGTCTGCTGGTAGGACCCGCCCGGCAGGAAGAGTGGGCTCGAATGGGGCAGCCCCAGAAGCTGCCCGAGCCTCAACACCTACTAAACCCGGCGCCGACTTCAAAACCCTCAGACATTCGCGAGCCGGAAGCAGGAAGGGGGGGGGGGGGCAGGGCAAACACTGCCAACTGGGGAAGGACTTACAGGCACAGACAGAACGAAAGTCGAAGCAACTAACACCCCCAAGTTCAAGTCCCCATAACCAAAACGGGGCAGCTCCAGGGCATCCGTGCGGGCAACTAACCTAGCGCGTTGCAGCAACATAAAGCTTGCATGCAACGTGGATGTCGCCTGAACCTGAACCTTAGTGACAACAGAATGGGTAAACTGGAGCATGAGCAGAAAACACGTCTCGCAAGACTCTGGGTCAAAGGTGTCATTGACCCAACAGGTAGCATGATGGAGGCAAAACAGGTGACCGTCACCCTGATAGCTTTATCATTTCATAAGGAAAATTTTTGAAAAATATATAAATTTAGGAAAACTTGGCTTATTAGGTAAATCGGGCCTTGCACAGTAGGCCGAGAAGTGCGTTCTGGCTACTAGGTACGACATACATACATACATACATACATACATATATATATATATATATACATATATATATAATGTATGTATGTATGTATGTATGTATGTATGTATGTATGTATGTATGTATGTATGTATGTATGTATGTATGTATGTATGTGCGTATTTTATTTATATATATATATATATATATATATATATATATATATATATATAAAAGAATGTACATACATATACAGAATGTATGTACATATAAAGAATATACATACAAAAGAATGGGGGTGGTAGGAGAAGATAATATTGGTGTTCAGTGAGAAACCACAAGGTCTCCTCTGAATACTTTTTATTTTCTTCTCCGAGGCTATGGGTCCCCACATTGGCACCAGAGGTGGTACCCTCACAAACTTTTTAATTTATATATATATATATATATATATATATGCAGAATAACCACATATGAAAAATAGAAACTGCTTAACGCGTTTTCGGCTAATTCGCCTTCATCAGAGCAAAGTAGAATGAAGATAAGATTGCTGATCAGACCTTTATATCCGCCTGGGCAGATCACCTGACCACCAAAATAAGTGGAGGAAAGGAATTATAAGAAAGAAGGTAACTGCAGAAGGCCTATTGGCCCATACAAGGCAGCTCCTATGAATATCTCCAAGTGCCATACGTGTTTAAATGATTGCTATATTGTTTTGACGTGCTATATTGAGGCTTAAATAGGGATCCAACTTGTACATACCGGGGCTCACATTAAGGCTGTTGTTACAATGTTTGATCAGAGCAGACTCGATCACGTTTCGTTCAACAAAATCCTTACTTTTAACAATACATTTTGCCCCTGTGAAGTCGATAGAATGATTACATAAACTGGAAATCATTCTATCGACTTCACAGGGGCAAAATGTATTGTTAAAAGTAAGGATTTTGTTGAACGAAACGTGATCGAGTCTGCTCTGATCAAACATTGTAACAACAGCCTTAACCCTTAAACTGCGCAACGCGCCTGCAGGCTCACGTCTGGTTTGCGCAACGCGCCTCCAGGTATTTGTATTTTTCACGTTCCATTCAAAACTCCCGCGGCTACATGGGGTTCACATCAGCTTCCTCAGGGCTCTTGTAAACAGACGCCATCTTTAAAAAAAATCGTGGTCCACATTCCCGGGTGTGGGAGCCTCAGTAGTGTGTGAGCAACCAAGGCTGGCGCTCACAGCATGAGCACACAGCACTGCTGTTCAGCATGTGACCACAGCATCGCCTAATAATGTCAAAATATATATATAACTTGTATTATTTAGCTATGATAGTGTTATATTAGAGCCTGAGTGTGATAATGACTGGGTACAATGTTCAAATCTCAGTGATTCAATGCTGTTCACGATGTTCACAGCGCTAGCCACAGCACCACAGCATTATTTCGCTCATCTAGGAATCTTCAAATGATTTCTTAGGTTCCTTTTCAAAATAAACATGTGGTCAATTATTAATTTACAGGAATTAGTAACCAGGATTGTGATAATAGCAGGATTGTGGTTATAATTAGCGTTGTGCGTAGTATTGTGGAAGGAGGAATTTTGATGAGGGAGGGAGGGCGAGAATTGAGGTAGCCTCATTGTGTGTGTGTGGCTGCCACTCTTGTTTTGCTCACCATACTAGCTTAGTGGTTCGCTATGGGCAACACATATGTACATGGGTATATATAGTGTGTGTATATAGTGTAAGAACAGCAACAGGAGAATGTTGAGAGGAGCTATTTTGGTGAGGGAGGTGACGTAATCGTAGCAACGTCTGTGTGATTTTTCATGCAGTGTATGGTGGCCACTGTACTGTTTGGACACAATTCCAGCTTACTTGCATAGTTCTGGTAAATAAAACATGTAGATAGGTATATAGACCATGTGTAATAAGAACTATAACAATATGGTGGGAGGAGCAATGTTGGCGAGTAAGATGTTGGAGTGAGGGAGAATGGCTGGGTGTGGCTGCTCTCACTCAGGGTGTTCTGAATGTGTTCATGGCCAAATGCTCCTATTGGCCTATACGAGGCAGTTGCTTTTGGCCCATACGAGGCAGCTGCTATTGGCCCATACGAGGCAGCTGCTATTGGCCCAAACGAGGCAGCTGCTATTGGCCCAAACGAGGCAGCTGCTATTGGCCCAAACGAGGCAGCTGCTATTGGCCCAAACGAGGCAGCTGCTATTGGCCCAAACGAGGCAGCTGCTATTAGCCTACACGAGGCAGCTGCTATTGGCCCAAACGAGGCAGCTGCTATTGGCCCATACGAGGCAGCTGCTATTGGCCCAAACGAGGCAGCTGCTATTGACCCATACGAGGCAGCTGCTATTGGTCCATACGGGGCAGCCGATATTGGCCCATACGAGGCAGCTGATAATGGCCCATACGAGGCAGCTGCTATTGGCCCATACGAAGCAGCTGCTACGCTGTGTTCTGAATGTGTTGATGGTGAATGTATATAGTGTGTGACAGTGTATAGTGTGTAAATAGATTGTATATATACACAAATTAGCATGATACATAGTAAATATGTGCTGCATATGTGTACACAAGTTTCATGCACGTAACACAGTGTCTACGGACAGTACAGATGTTGTACTGCGATATTATAGTGGACGTGTTCATTATACATTGGATTGGCACATAAAAACAATGAAAATGTATTTGGAAAGGTGCGCAAAAAATGAACGAAAATATATTCGCGGCAACTCGCGCGTCCCGCCCCGAGCGCCCCACCGCCCCCGAGAGCTTACGGCACGGGCGCACGGGGAATGATGACGTCACGCCCCAACTTCCGGACCCCATAGCAGCCAAAGTAAGTACAATTTCGACGTTTTTTTTACATACCCATACTGAGGGAAGGGTTTTTGACACTTTAAAAAGAAAAAAGAATTTTTTCCAGAGAATTTATTTCCTGCGCACTGCGGGGGTGTCACATTTGGAGGCAACGCAGTTAAGGGGTTAATGTGAGCCCCGGTATGTACAAGTTGGATCCCTATTTAAGCCTCAATATAGCACGTCAAAACAATATAGCAATCATTTAAACACGTATGGCACTTGGAGATATTCATAGGAGCTGCCTTGTATGGGCCAATAGGCCTTCTGCAGTTACCTTCTTTCTTATAATTCCTTTCCTCCACTTATTTTTGGTGGTCAGGTGATCTGCCCAGGCGGATATAAAGGTCTGATCAGCAATCTTATCTTCATTCTACTTTGCTCTGATGAAGGCGAATTAGCCGAAAACGCGTTAAGCAGTTTCTATTTTTCATATGTGGTTATTCTGCATACTTGGATCAGTGTTTTTGTGATCATTGTTGCATATATATATATATATATATATATATATATATGTCGTACCTAGTAGCCAGAACGCACTTCTCAGCCTACTATGCAAGGCCTTATTTGCCTAATAAGCCAAGTTTTCCTGAATTAATATATTTTCTCTAATTTTTTTCTTATGAAATGATAAAGCTACCCATTTCATTATGTATGAGGTCAATTTTATTTTTTTGGAATTAAAATTAACATAGATATATGACCGAACCTAACCAACCCTACCTAACCTAACCTAACCTATCTTTATAGGTTAGGTTAGGTTAGGTAGCCGAAAACATTAGGTTAGGTTAGGTTAGGTAGGTTAGGTAATCGAAAAGACATTACTTCATGAAAACTTGGCTTATTAGGCAAATTGGGCCTTGCATAGTAGGCTGAGAAGTGCGTTCTGGCTACTAGGTACGACATATATATATATATATACATACATACATACATACATACATACATACACACACATACACATGCATGCATGCATGCATGCAATTGACGATCACAAAACACTGATCATTTTTATGCAGAAAATCCACAGAGAAATGTGAAAGGAAGTGAACGTTTCAGCCTGATTATAGCCGTTGAGACAAGGACACAGAGCAACCTTCAAACTCACACAAGGCGAGGTAGAACTCAAGAGGAAACATTCATCAGTCAACTGAGCCCCAACGGACATTTTCAGGGCCCGTAGGGGTGTCTTCTATGGGAAGCCCAGGCAAGGTACTGCTAGCCGGTTGAACCCAAAAGCTAACGAAGGGGGATGAGCTAATAATTGGACCCCTGTGACATGTACAAGCACGGGGGGCCCAAGAGGAGGGACACCAATATACTCCTATATGGACTAATAGCAGAACAAGGCAGACCCCTCTTGGCAAGAAAAAAAAATAAAAAAAAAAAAAAAAACGCAAAAGTACAACGCCACCAGAAGGAACAGGAACACGGTCGCCTCACAGGTAAGTGAGCAGCGCAGCACCTTGTGCCCCAACCAGCAACAACACCACTCTCCACTCAAAGCCAAATAAAGGTCACGAAACCCCAGCTGGCCCCAAGGGCGGGGTAAATGCCGAGCAGCAAAAACCCCTACGGAAGTTGAATCCCGAAGGCTCTATGGAAGGTAACCCTAAAACCCAAGGGTTACTTACAAGCGCCTAGAGAAGGTAGCCCTAAGTGCATGCAGCCCCAGTATACAGTAGTTACATCTGGCCACCGTACCACAAGGAGCAGGAACACCACGAAGGCACAAATTCTGCCAAGACATCGAGGCCAGAGTTGACGACCGCCCCAGAGCACATCAGCCTACGAACTAAAGGTGTGAGTAGCCGGCGCAGGTTGTCCGGGACTCCCCCCTCCCCCCTCCTGGGGAGGGAAGGGCTGCACGGACATGTGGCACGGTGGTGGTGTATGACGTTTACATGTTCGCTTGTTTCTTTAAATTTTGGGGAGTTCTGCCTCTCTGTTCGGTCTTCGGTTGCATTTTCTTACCAAGTGGGATCTGTTTTGTTCTGCCTACCTTTCTGGGTGCCTAACCCCAGTTGATGGCAGATATGGAATGCTCCCAAACACGGGGGATTTCCGTAAGTCATTGCTCCCTGTGACTCTCTGAGGGGGCCAGGTTCTGGCTCGTGGTCCCCAGTAGGCTGACCTCCATTGACTGATGCCCAGACTAATATAGCATATATCAGTCCAATAGCTCCAGGAAGCCGGAGACGCTCCACACAAAAAATTGCCACAGAATCTAGGTACAGTAATTCTCCGATCTGTGGTCAGTTATTTCCAAATAGATTTCCAAGGATAACATCATTGTTGACTATTTGCCATCTTAGACTTGGCAGGTTTAAGTCTCCAAGGAATATCTAGTAATCTGATTTGTCAGATTATCGAGGTCATGCTCTATTTTGTTTGATCTGTTCTGTGAATTCCTCATCCATTGCATATAGCAGTTGTATACAGTTTAAACGTGTAAAACGGAGTATTGGTTTCAAGCTCAACAAGCCATAGTGTAGGACTGAAAACAGGAGATGCTTTTTCAATACATGGTTATAAAGCCATAGAACTCCCTATCCACTAAAGTCATAAATGCCTAAACTTTGCTTAACTTTAAAATCCAGCTTGGAAAAATCATCAAGACAAGTGAGGGGAACCTTTGACAAGCTGCCGAGTTCCAGTCCTCGTTGAGGCCACTAAGAGTGTTATTGGCTCTCGGGTAAATTCAGGTATGTATATTAGAAGGTCTATTTTCTCTATTTTTACTAAATGTACACTACCTCTACCACCTTATTTGTAGAATTAAGGATCTCCGAGCAATCAAGGTCTTCCAAATACTGTATACAGTACAAACCTACTCCTCTATGTGACCTATTTACCCTATCACATCTATATAAATTATATTCCGGTATTCTGATCTCACTGTCAATGTATTTCCCTGCATAGGTTTCTATGGAAGCTCCAAATACAGTACTGCACTTGCCTCTGTGAAGAGGCAAATGGGAGAATAACATCCACACATTTAAAGTTTTCATACCACCAACCTTGAAAGTTTTAACTCCCTTAGTAACTGGTTTATCTTGTAGGTAGTGGAGGCAAATCCTATCTCCACTCAGTGAGATCTTTGCACTGCGTACGGGTTCACCTTCTGCCATGGCAAACATCCGACCCTCTGTCAGTGACTTTTTCTGGGTGCCAAGACAGCTGCGTAGATATTCAACCTGGCAAGTGAACTTACAACAGTTATCAGCATAAAGTATGTAAGTGCTGAATATATAACAAGAGCTAATGACTACCATGTACACATCCACAAATCAGAAAACAAGCTTTCCAAAATGTTTTAAAAAGTTATCAGACAAACATAATGACAGGTGATAAGGTATAATATTCTTATATTAGATAATATAACCGTCAGTACATTCAAAGCATTACATGACAGAGTACTGGGAAGACGGGACACCATGAGCGTAGCTCTAATCCTGTAATTTGTAACTTGGGTAATTACATGTGTTTCTGTCAACATCTCCCTAGTACAGCTCTAGGAACTTGCACTACTGATGTCAATGCTTAAGTTAACTGATTATACTGGCTCTGGGTATCAAAACCCTATAACCTATTAGCACTATCAAATTAAATACTGATCACGTAGGTCCTCAATTACAGTGGTACCTCGCATAACGAATTTAATCCGTTCCATGTTCGTCATGTGAAACGGACGTCATACAAAACGAGTGTCCCCCATGTAACCAGTGTGATACACTGTGTTTATTGTGAAATTTCCCTAGTGTGCATGACATCAAATGTTCCCCAAAATATAATTTTTCTTTGTAAAATGATAAATTACCGTCCCTGAACATGTCTATGTAAAAATAATTACCAAATTCCACTTACTTTGGCTGTGAGGGCGTGGACAAGGTGCGCTGTGACGTCATCAGGGCCTGGTCGCCCGTGTGTGAAGCTCCCAGACACGGTCGCGCAGGCCACTCAAGCACCGCGTGTTGCCACAAATATATTTTCAAATATTTTTTCTATGCATTTCCAATGCGGTTTTATTTGTTTCTTTTATCGTATATGATGCATATTTGTGACCTTTACAATATGTATACAGTAGAATGTTCATATTTTTCCATGAAACTGTGATACATGTGTCAGTAATGTGTCCACAATAAATGTTTATTGTCACAATATTACGTGGTAAAAATGCACTAATATTACAATATGTACAGTTTCATATACTATTTACACAGTAACACACTGTATTACACAGTACTTTGGAGGTGCATAATAGTCAACGAAGTAGTCCATGGTACACAGCGCGACTTTGCTCTCCTTGCACCAGCTACAGATAGATTTTTGTTTCCCGTTTCATCGTTCTGTGTGCTTGCAAATAACGCACTCGCATGCACCCTTGGCTTTAGTACTTGTAGGTGGTATGTAGCCAAGCTTGTAAAGCATAAAGTAGTATTGAAACGATTATAGGAAAAGCTCAATTTGTAAGGTAGTCTTGAAAAAATCTCTTTGTAAGGTCCCACACAGGAAGAGATTCAGCTAGCCTCAAAGAGTGTCCATCAGTCAGGAAGAGATTCAGCTAGCCTCAAAGAGTGTCCATCAGTCAGGAAAAGATTCAGGTATTCTTGAAAATATCAATGAATATCACCACCATGGAAGCCGCTAACACTGTTAATCTATGCTACTTGTATCAGATGCATCATCACTGAACGCAGAAAACGATTCATCTATGTATCATCTATATACATTTCAGATGGCAAGGGTGGGGCTCAGAGCTACACCTGGATACGCTCGCTGTATCATCCTCATAGGTGCTGTATCACTGGCATCCGACCGTTGTGTTAAGCCCTTATTACGCCTAGCTTCACCAATGTTATGACCCTTATGTTCTTCAAACAATAGGGTCTGAATTGCACTGACTGAGCACAGTCTTTCAACACCGTGTGGGACAGGTGTTTGAGAGCCAGAGGCGCGTGTGCCACAAATGGTTGCTCACGCACTACTAACCCAGCCAGCAGCCCTTGCCTTTCATATTCGTTATAGCAAAAGGTTCGTTCAGTGTTTGTTGGGTAGGCTGCTCCAGTATGACAATCTTTGTTTCAAATGTGTTCCATTTGTTTTGTATTTGTCACTTACGTCTCAATAATGGAGCAGCCTACCCGACAAACACTGAACGAACCTTTATGACATTTGTCCATTTTTCAAATTGTTTCAACAGTTCTTTTATTTTTCGTTTTTTTTTTTTTTTTTTTTAAAGAAACATGGAGCAGCCGACCTGTAGACCGCGGAACGAACCTTTTTGACATTTGTACTGGTTTTCAAAATTCTTCATTTTTTTTTATTATTTTCGTTTTTTGTATGTAAGAAACATGGAGCAGCCTACCTGCCGACCACCGAACGAACCTTTTGCTATAAGACAAATGAAAAATAAATATTGAACACATTTGAAGAAAGGAAAATGTCATAATGGTTTATTCAGTGTATGTAAGGTAGGCTTCTCCATTATTGAGACGCAAATGACAAATAAAAAACAAATGGAACACATTTGAAACAAAGATTGTTATAATGGAGCAGCCTACCTGCCGAACACCGAACGAACTTTTTTGACATTTGTTGTATATCAGACATTTCATTTCATTTTTCCTACAAAAACGTCAATGCTTTGCAACATCTCAGTAGTCACCCTTTTATATCCCAGCATCATTAGCATCTTTAAACAAGAACAACATAATTTATGTGCATCGTCGGAGGCATCTAAGAATGTGCAAGAAGCAGCGCGACCCCACCATGTGGTGTTGACGTTACACAAACCAGCGTTCGTCATACGGGACGATTTGACGCCGATCAGGCCGTTCGTTACCCAAAATATTCGTCTTTTGGGGCAATCGTTATGCGAGGTACCACTGTACTTAGAAAAAATCTGTATACTAAAGACACAAGCACCACAGGAAAGGAACAGGAACAACCTTGACCCTGATCTTGGAGCAACCAGGTGTCCTGCTCAGAATGGAATATTTCATATACACACTCAGAGTGATATTTCTGAGCTATACCACTCTGTTACTGCCTAAAGCAAGGCCATTAAGTAGAACACATCCCAAAAATAGATAAAATGTGGATAAAATTACTTGTGGTGCAGAGTTCTACCCAACTCTGTCAATGTTTGCCAATGATGCAAAGTTAATAAGGAGAGTAAGAACAAATGAGGACTGTACGGTGCTGCAAGAAGACCTTGGCAAACTTCTGGAGTGAGCACATAAATGGCTGCTGGAATTCAATCTAAATAAGTACGAAGTAATGAAAATGGGTAATGTTGATAGAGGCCTGTATTTAACTATACCACAAAGGGAAAATAATTATAAGGAAGGTAATTTGCTTGTATACAGATCTGAGTATTAGTTATACTGGTTAAACAGGTATCTCCAGGTGACTCCCATACAGCATAATTAAAATGCTCCTATATGGATGACCATGAGTACGTGTGTCATCAACATTGCATGTATTCCTCCCCAAGTGTCCATAGTGTTTTATGAGGCACACAAAATATACACAACTCTAGCAGCAGCTGAATACCTAAGCTCAGAAAAATTTAAATGAATCTAAATCTTACAAACTTAAAGAAAGGTGAAGTGGAGGTCAATTTTGTGAGCCATGACTTTGACGTAAGTAAATTTTTGAACTCGTGACCCAAGTCAATAACTTTTTAAATTATCTTTATTAAAATATTTAACAATTGGTAGCAAGTACAGTACTGTACCAGGATAACTAGCTATGGTTATTACTTGTAAACAAAAACATTTTAAACTTACAGTGTATTCAGTTATTTTCTCCTGAAGACTCATTGCCTGTGATGTGTTCAATGTCTGTGAAGTATTTCCTGTAATCTGGTAAATTTTATCTTGGATAGTAGTGGTAGAGTCTGCCCGAAGAGCAGGGATAGCCACAGCTCCCCGAGGCTCGCTGGCCATTACTTCCAGGGCCCTCCTGGTGGTCTCCCGTACCTGCCATCATGAGCACATCATCATTATTAGCCTATTCCATTTCTTGTCTTCACAGTGTTGGAAGACATTAACCCAGAGAAAAGAGAACAAAATAGGAAAAGTTGGCTTAAAACATTTTAAAATAACACCAAAACACTAATCATACTTTATTAACACACACGCACAATATAACAGAGAACTAACACCATCACACTTGAGCAATCATCCACAGCAGCACGCAACAGCTCCATAAGACTAGCAGTATAGTGCTCCCCAAGAGTTATACAGCATGCAAATAAAATGTATCCTCTTCCCAAAATAATGCCACCTAGCCTTGTTCCCTTCTACCCATTTGATGCTTTTCACACTTAAATCCTGCATTCTCAGACACCAGCTCTCCATGTCTCCCCATCTTCTCACCACATATCCTGCTTGAAAGATTGCTCCCTAAACACTTATTATATTTTCTGCTGGACATAAATCATAAACAATCAGGCATAGTGACATATTGTGTGTTCAAGACAAGAAAGCTGAAAGTCAGTGTAAGAAAATGGATGATTATGATGTCTGAAAATAGAGTATAGAATTACGGTAAGTAGATTTTGAAGATCTTTACAGTGTTGCTTGACAGTGATTTGACCGGTACGTGAGAAATAGAAGAGATAGGAAGCCATAAATACTTGGGGACAATGTTAGACACACTGTAAAGATATCAAGTAAGAGAGAGTAATACTTGAGAAAAGAGTGGTAGATGTGAATAGAATAATGAAAGGCAGGAAAGTTAGTATGGGAGTTCAGGAAGGAAAGAGGTAGTTTATAGTCTATACCATACATCAAAGCTGATAGGACAAATTAAACTTAAGAGTATGGAGAGAGGTGTACAAGCAATGGAAATAAGTTTTTTGAGAAAAGCAGCTGGTCTAAGCATGTGTGATTGGTATAGTGATGATGAAGTATATAAGAGAAGTGGTATGAGTGAAAGGGATGAGGAAATGAAATGTAATGTGGAGTTGTAAAATGAGAGAATGAAGCACAATTCACTTAGGTGGTAAGACATGTTAGTATGATGCCTTAAGAGTTGTTTAATAATGGTGTACAGAGGTGAACTAAGATGGCCATATGGTAGAGGATGATAACCATTATCATCAAAGGAAAGAATGGAACAATGTATGAAAGAATGGGTGAGAAGAGAAGCATGAAAGGTTTGTATGGTGATAGTCTCAAGGAGAAACTAATACAGTAGCCACACTCTTATGGGAAGCTTCCAGGAGGAAGTAAAGCATCAGGGATCATATTAAAAGTAAATTGCTTGTAAATTATAGAGCCTGATGGATTTTCACATAGAGCCCTGAGTTTGTATGCTCATGAGCTCATAAATCTATTGAGGGTTATTTTCCAGATATTTCCAAACAGGAAAACAAGCAGACATTTGGACAGTGGCAAATGTAATGAAATGCCATTTTCTGGGTGAGCCCCTACTGCTCCCCAGAGCTTACCGGGCTGATATGTATGTATTAGACCGTGGCATCAGTCGATGAAGTTCTTGCCTACCGGGGACCATGAGCCAGAACTTGGCCCCCTCAGAGAGGCACAAGGAGATGAAACAAAGAACCGGCGAGACTCGACCTAGTCTTCACTCTGAATGACTCCGACACAAGGGAAATGGACTTCGAGGCCCCAGTAGGAATGAGCGATCACAGTGTACTGATGTTTGAGTATCTAGTCGAAGAAGGGTTAAAGAACTCGAGAAAGGGAACTGAAAGCAAAAGGCTAGCATTCCGTAAGGAAAACTATAAGGAGATGAGAAAATTCCCAATGGATATAACATGGGAAACAGAGCTCAGGGGAAAAACGGCCCACAACATGATGGAATACATCACGCAGAAGTGTAAGGAGGCAGCAGAAAAGTTTATCCCGGCCCAAAGGGAAAAAAATTAAATGCAGATGAGAAACCCATGGTTTAATCAGAGATGTAAGCTAGCTAAGCAACTAAGTAAAAGAGCATGGAGAAACTATAGAAATAACAGGACACATGAGAGCAGAGAAGGTTACCAGAGAGCCAGGAATGAATTCATCAGGGTGAGAAGAGAGGCAGAAGGGCAATATGAAAATGACATAGCAAACAAGGCTCAGACTCAACCTAAATTGCTGCACAGCCACATAAGGAGAAAAACAACAGTGAAGGAACAGGTAATGAAACTGAGGATAGGGGCCAACAGATTCACTACAAACGACAAAGAAATGTGCGAAGAACTCAATAAGAAATTTCAGAAAGTCTTCACATTAGAGCAAGGGGAGGTTCCAGAGATAAGAAAATGAATAGTTAACCAGGCACCACTAGAGGAATTTGAGATTACCAGTGGGGATGTAAGGAACCTTTTGCTAGAGTTGAATATGACAAAGGCTATAGGCCCGGATGGAACATCGCCATGGATACTAAAGCAAGGAGCAGAAGCACTGTGCCTGCCACTCTCCATGGTGTATAACAAATCACTGGAAACAGGTGAACTGCCAGAAATTTAGAAAATGTAGTCCCGATATACAAGAAGAGGAGATAGACAGGAGGCACTGAACTACAGGCCAGTGTCCCTGACTTGCATACCATGCAAGTTATTGGAGAAAATAGTGTGAAAAAAGCTAGTGGAACATATTGAACGAAAGAACTTTGTGACACAACACCAACATGGTTTCAGGGATGGCAAATTATGCCTCACTGGATTAATTGAATTCTATGATCAGGCAAGAAAGAGAGGGGTAGGCAGACTGCACATTTTTGGATTGCCAGAAAGCCTTTGACACAGTACCACACCAGAGACTAGTGCAAAAGTTGGAGATGCAGGCTGGAGTGAAAGGGAAGGTACTCCATTGGATAAGGGAGTACTAAGTAACAGAAGACAGTGAGTCACTGTGAGAGGTGAGGTTTCAGACTGGTGAGACGTCACCAGTGAAGTCCCGCAGGGTTCAGTCCTTGGATCCATACTGTTTCTGATATATGCAAATGATCATCCAGAGTGTATAGAATCATTCCTCTTATTGTTTGCTGATGATGCAAAAATTATGAGGATGATTAAGATGGAGGAAGATAGTATATCGCTACAAGATGACCTAGTCATACTGAATGAATGGTTCAACAAATGGCTACTAAAGTTCAACCCAAGTAAATGTAAGGTAATGAAACTTGGAAGTGAAAACAGTAGGCCAGACACAGGATACAGAATGGGAAATGAAGTCCTTCATGAAATGGACAGAGAGAAAGATCTAGAAGTTTATATCACACTAAACCTGTCTCCTGAAGCCCACATCAAGAGAATAACATCTGCACCTGTGTAAGGAATCATTCAGAATCTTGTATACCACATATGTAAGACTAATTCTGGAATGTGTGGCCCTAGCATGGAGCCCGAACCTTGTCAAAAACACGGCGAAGCTTGAAAAAGTTCATAGGTATGCCACTAGGCTAGTCCCAGAACTAAGAGGCATGAGTTACGAGGAAAGGCTACGTGAAATGCACCTCACGACACTGGAAGACAGAAGAGCAAGGGGAGACATGATCACTACCTACAAAACTCTCAGAGGAATTTACAGGGTAGATAAAGATAAACTGTTTAACATGGGTGATACATGAACAAGGGGACACGGGTGGAAACTGAGTACCCAAATGAACCACAGGGACGTTAGAAAGAACTTTTTAATACAAATACAAATATTTATTCAGGTAAAGTATATACATACAAGGTGAAATACAAAAGTTGATGGATTCATAGATAGAGCTAGTACAGGTACATACAATGCCTAAAGCCACTATTACGCAAAGCGTTTCGGGCAGAAAAAACACTAAGACTAATGTTGATGTTTATCAGTGTCAGAGTAGTTAGCACTTTCGCGCTCTCCGCAAAGGTCACTCAGCCAACCGAATGTGCGCGCTGCGTTTTTATCGCTTAAGCGTAAAAACAAAAATGTGTATACTCTTTTTACTCTTCTGACCTTAGTTCTCATGCTACGTATTTCATTTTGGTACCAACGTGTTCGCAATAAAATTCTCTAGAAGAACATTAGTAAAATAAGTCACAAAACATATAGGGATACCAGCACCAAATAAATAACTACGTAGATGACTCGCCATGAGCGCCCATCAGCAACAAAATGTTTTTACTCTTGGGATTGTAATCACCTCCACACTTGTTCTACAGCGTTAATTTTGGTATCAATGGACTCGCAATGAAATTCCCAACACGGTGATATGAATATAAGCGTAGAATACTGATGCAGCCCGCCCGCAAAAGTGTGGGAAGTGGTGAAATTGTTACCCGGTGTCGATGACGGGACGACGCACGGCGCTTTGAAAGTTTATACTTATTTCACTCTCATGACATTAATTTTCTATGTACGTCATTCATTTTTATGTCAATGTGTTCGCAATAGAATGTTCTATGTGCCCATAGGTAAAAAATATCAACAAAGCGTAAGTTAGAATAGCGACAAATATAAAACAACGCTGGAACATATCAGTGAGCGTCAAACACACACGAAATATTTTTACTTTTGTTATGTTTGTCAAGATTATACTTGTTGCACACAGTTATTTTTGGTTGTATATTGATCGGAATAAAATTCCCTAAACAGACATATGCATATAATACATGATATGGGGGAAGAATTACCAGTATAAACGGCTAAAGTCACCCACCGGCAACCCGTTTGGGACAAAATACCATTTGATCGAAGTTATCCACACCTTTCATGAACTTATTGTACCATGCAGCCTAGTGGTGAGAAAGAGAGCCTCATAGAGCGCAGTTTGAAACAAACCCAAAGTAAATCGGATAAAAATTGAATTTTATACAAATATTTTAAAAGTAGACATAACTTTATGTCCACTATGCGTTTACGTTAGACGAAACCGAACGCGCCGGCGCGTCCAGATAGCGCGAAAGTGTTAACAGGTGAAATGCATTTGGCAGTGATGTGGTGGAGGTTGACTCCATACACAGTTTCAATTGTAGATATGACAGAGCCCAATAGGCTCAGGAATCTGTACACCAGTTGATTGACAGTTGAGAGGCTGGACCAAAGAGCCAGAGCTCAATCCCCCCCAAGCACAAATAGGTGAGTACATACTGAATGGAGTGTGAGTAGCTTGAGCCACCTCATCCCTTTGTGTGTATTTATACCTCAATAAATTTATTTCAGTTTTTTAATACAATATATAGTTGAGGACAGGAAGCCTGTTAGGCTTATTGAGGTCCCTCTAGGCCAACTACTGACTACGTTCAGAATACATCCCTTTTCCCACATGTAAGCCTAACTCCTGGTTATCTATTTATTGCTAGGTGAGCAGAGGCATCAGGTGTAAGGAAATATTGCCTAAATGATTCTGACCTACTGAGGGAATTAAAACCGAGATGTTGGCTATAACTTGACTATGCTAACCAATATGCCACAGGATCCTTCCACATTAGAATGCATGAAAGTGGAATACAGTACTGTACTGTTAATTGATCCATGATTATTGTACAGCATGATACAGTACTGTTAATTGATCCATGATTATTGTACAGCATGATACAGTACTGTTAACTGATCCATGATTATTGTACAGCATGATACAGTACTGTTAATTGATCCATGATTATTGTACATCATCCTCTTGCTTTTAAAGAAAAGGGTATATGAGTTAGCTAAAATCAGCACACAGAAATATATAAAAGCTTGAAATTTTAATTGGGAAGAAATAAATTTTTAAAGCTTACCGTCAAGGAAGTATGAAGAGCTTTGACATCAGGAAAGGAGTTTTGACAAGTGTTGGTCCAGTCCATTGCTGTAACACTACACACTTCTGCATCATCAATGGCCGTATCAACCTCTTGGGCTGAGACTGCCTGAGTCAGACAGTCCAATACAGCTTCCAACCGCCTCTCTTCTTCTATTCCACCTTGTCGAACTTCTATCAAGTGGCGATGCTCCTCTTCCAGGCTGCTTAAGGCCTCCTTGTTCTGTTTAGCCACTCTGTCAATTTTAACCATAAGATCATCATGGTCAACCTTCCATTTAATGATTTGCTCCTCATAATTATCCAGTTCGGTTCTTGCCTGCTGGCACTTGGTAATACATGTGCGGACAATATTTTCTTGACCACATTTGAGCAACTCCAACTTCTTGCTGATTACTTTTGGACTGTCTCTCCTTGGTCTCTTTGCTGTTGTTACTGAGATGCGAACAGCTCTTAGAGATTTGATGAGTACCTCAGCCAAGTAACTGATAGGAAACTCAGTTGAACAATGAGCGTAATGCTCCTTACGACAGTTGGGGCAAGCGAGTCTACCATTTGCAATGGTGTCAGCAATGCAGCTAGTACAAAAGGTGTGGCCACAAGGGAGATTACGTGGTCGACGTAGATCATCATCATACTCGGTGAAGCATACTTTACACTCCAGAGGATTGTCTTCATCCTGTTGAGTGCACAACACAGAGTTACACTGTTCTACATAGATCCACAACTTTAATAAGAAGGCTACACTAATGGAGAATTATAACCGTTTTGTTGGGAAAAGATTACCGAGAACATTTTCTCCAATAGTTAAGAACATTATTGTTCTTAACAATATATAGTACTGTACTAAGAAAACTGTTACTTTTTCATAACAAGTATATGTGATCAACACAAATGTTTACACTTGGGAAGTAAATATCAGTATCTAACAACTAACATGCACATCATTCAAACACCAATGGCTCTGGCCAGTAACTGGATGGGCAACCATGAAGACTATCTCACCCATGGCCAGGAGGACATTATATCTTCAATAGTGGTATACCATACCACATATATTAACATTATTGTATTAAAAAGAATTACTATTTATGTATAAGTTGTAAAGCTTCTGTAGGAAGAATGCAGAAACTGAATGTGAGGATCAGGAACACTATTGAAAATTCTTTGTTATCTGTTTAAGGATAAAAGTGCCGAAGACGAGAAGAAGCTCAACTACTGACAATTATGTCTTACGTATGCCAGACAAGGGAAATAGGCTCAGGAATCTGTACACCTGTTGATTGATGGTTGAGAGGCGGGACCAAAGAGCCAGAGCTCAACCCCCGCAAGCACAATTAGGTGAGTACAATTAGGTGAGTACACACACACACACACAGGGAGAGGAAATTCTTCAGGAGTCAGAGAAAGAAAAGGACTTGGGAGTTGATATCACGCCAGACCTGTCTCCTGCAGCCCATATCAAGAGGATAACATCAGCGGCATATGCCAGTCTGGCCAACATACGAACGGCATTCAGAAACTTGTGTAAAGAATCATTCAGAACTTTGTATACCACATATGTCAGGCCAATCCTGGAGTATGCAGCCCCAGCATGGAGTCCATATCTAGTCAAGGATAAGACTAAACTGGAAAAGGTTCAAAGGTTTGCCACCAGACTAGTACCCGAGCTGAGAGGTATGAGCTACGAGGAGAGACTATGGGAAACCTCACTTCGCTGGAAGACAGAAGAGTTAGGGGGAACATGATCACCACATTCAAGATTCTGAAGGGAACTGATAGTGTAGATAAAGACAGGCTATTTAACACAAGGGGCACACACACAAGGGGACACAGGTGGAAACTGAGTGCCCAAATGAGCCACAGAGATATTAGAAAGAACTTTTTTAGTGTTAGAGTGGTTGACAAATGGAATGTAATAGGAAGTGATGTGGTGGAGGCTGACTCCATACACAGTTTCAAGTGCAGATATGATAGAGCCCAATAGGCTCAGGAATCTGTACACCTGTTGATTGACGGTTGAGAGGTGGGACCAAAGAGCCAGAGCTCAACCCCTGCAAACACAACTAGGCGAGTACAACTAGGTGGACACACAAACACACACACACACTATCACTAACTGGGATCTACCAGTTGGTATACAGAATTATATGAACATGTTTGCTGATGATGCTAAGATAATAGGAAGGATAAGAAACTTAGATGATTGTCATGCCCTTCAAGATGACCTGGACAAAATAAGTACTGTATATGGAGCACCACTTGGCAAATGGAATTTAATGTTAATGAATGCCATGTTATGGAATGTGGAATAGGAGAACATAGACCTCATGCAACCTATATATTATGTGAGAAATCTTTAAAGAATTCTGATAAAGAAATCTAGGGGTGGTTCTAGATAGAAAATTATCACCTGAGGACCACATTAAGAACGTTGTGCGAGGAGCCTATGCCACGCTTTCTAACTTCAGAATTGCTTTTAAATACATGGATGGCGATATACTAAAGAAATTGTTCACGATATTTGTTAGGCCAAAGCTAGAATATGCAGCGGTTGTGTGGTGCCTATACTGTATCTTAAAAAGCACATCAACAAACTGGAAAAGGTGCAAAGACATGCTACTAAGTGGCTCCCAGAACTGAAGGGCAAGAGCTATGAGGAGAGGTTAGAGGCACTAAATATGCCAAAATTAGAAGACAGAAGAAAAAGAGTGATATGATCACTACGTTCAAAATAGTAACAGGAATTGATAAAATCGATAGGGTAGATTTCCTGAGACCTGGAACTTCAAGAACAAGAGGTCATAGATTTAAACTAAACATAGATGCTGAAGAAATATAAGAAAATTCACTTTCGCAAACAGAGTGGTAGACGGTTGGAACAAGTTAGGTGAGGTGGTTATCTTGAGGTTATCTTGAGAGGATTTCGGGGCATTTTAGTGTCCCCGCGGCCCGGTCCTCGACCAGGCCTCCACCCCCAGGAAGCAGCCCGTGACAGCTGACTAACACCCAGGTACCTATTTTACTGCTAGGTAACAGGGGCATAGGGTGAAAGAAACTCTGCCCATTGTTTCTCGCCGGCGCCTGGGATCGAACCCAGGATCACAAGTCCAGCGTGCTGTCCGCCTGGCCGACCGGCTCCGCTGGTGGTGGAGGCCAAGACCGTCAGTAGTTTCAAAGCGTTATATGACAAAGAGTGTTGGGAAGACGGGACACCACGAGCGTAGCTCTCATCCTGTAACTACACTGAGGTAATTACACACCACATCTTGTACACCACATATGTAAGACCATTCCTGGAGTATGCGGCCCCAGCATGGAGCCCGTACCTTGTCAAGCACAAGACGAAGCTGGAAAAAGTCCAAAGGTATGCTACTAGACTAGTCCCAGAACTAAGAGGCATGAGTTACGAGGAAAGGCTGCAGGAAATGCACCTTACGACACTGGAAGACAGAAGAGTAAGGGGAGATATGATCACAACCTACAAAATCCTCAGGGGAATCGACCGGGTAAACAAGGATAAACTATTCAACACTGGTGGTACACGAACAAGAGGACATGGGTGGAAACTGAGTACACACCTGAGCCACAGGGACGTTAGATGGAACTTTTTCAGTGTCAAAGTAGTTAACGGATGGAATGCATTAGGCAGTGATGTGGTGGAGACTGACTCCATACACAGTTTCAAATGTAGATATGATAGAACCCAGTAGGCTCAGGAATCTACACCAGTTGATTGACAGTTGAGAGGTGGGACCAAAGAGCCAAAGCTCAACCCCCACAAGCACAAATAGGCGAGTACAAATAAGTGAGTACACACACACACAGTACAAGTTCTTACACTATTGTACAGCCACTAGCACGCATAGTGTTTCGGGCAGGTCCTTAATCCTATGTTTCCCGGAATATGTCCCGCTAAATCATTTAACAACCAGGTACCCATTTTACTGTTGGTAAACAGAGGCTACAGTTATACAATACAATACAATACAATTTTATTTAGGTAAGGTACATACATACAATAAATATTTACAAGGATTGTTTAACTTATAGGTATAGCTAGTACATACAATGCCTAAAGCCACTATTACGCAAAGCGTTTCGGGCATACCACTATTACGCAAAGCGTAAGTTAAGGATTGACATCAAGTATATCCTCCCCGGCCAGGATACGAACCCAGGGCAAAGCGCTCGTGAAACGCTAGGCGAGTGTCTTACCACTACACCACGGGGACTGCATGTAATAAAATGTAATTAAAAGTATCTCTGGTGCAGGGTGTGAGGGTATTGTTTTGATATTTTCTGCAACAGCACCAACACCAATGGTGGTCACTCTACAAGAGGTCAATTGGCAGATCACAATATGTGAAAGCAAACACTGCGGTCCACTGTATCTCAGGTGCAGAGGAAGGGTTGGATTCCAGGTTGTGGGGTTTGCAACTGCAATGGCCTGCTGGTGGACACCCCAGACCTAAGGTCCTGGATGACCCTTGTCTCCAAACAAGCATACAGGTACCTCCCATTGCTAAGTCGTTGGCCTCTCCAACTGCTTGAGCAATCTTGAAAACAGACTAATGGGTTCTCACACCAAATTTAACATTTAGTGCTAAAGGCTATGGGGGATCTTGATACTCTGATCTAACCCAATTAAAAGTAAGTACAGTGGAACCTCAATTTTCAAATGGCCATCTTTTCAAATTTTTTGGTTTTCAAGCTCAATTTCTTTGTAAAATTTAAAATTTATATTGTTTCTAATGGAAAAAATCTTTTAAGTTTTCGAATTTTCAGTTGTCGAACCATCTCCGGGAACGGATTAATTTAGAAATGGAGGCACAACTGTAGCAATAATTAATTAGCAGGGCAGTACTGTACTCAAAAAAGGGATGACAGAATGACAAGAATGTTGACCAGACCACACACTAGAAGGTGAAAGGACGACGGTTCGGTCTGCCCTGGACCATTCTCAAGTCATCACACAATTGACTTGAAAATAGTCCAGGACGGACCGAAACGTCGTCGTCCCTTCACCTTCTAGTATGTGGTCTGGTCAACATTCTTCAGCCACGTTATTGTGACTCATCGCCTGCAGAATGACAAAAGTACAGCTAAATAAATTTATTCAATAAACTTACTCACTCCAGGTACAATCCAGGTACATTATAATATTTTGTTACATTAATCGAGTGTCACTTCAACAACTATGCAAAACCATACAGCAGGACTCCCTCCTACCACTTTGGTACGTAAGAAACCTCAGTCTTTACCCTCTTGCATGGGCATGCAATGTGAACTAAACTGATTACTAGTGAACACTTACTCAATTACACTTGAAACTTGCAGTGGCAACCAACAATGATAACAAAACACAACAATAACAATACTGTAATCACTTATAACTGAGACAACACTAATTAATTTATGTTAACACTCTTGTCACTAAGACAATCACAAATTAATTGACAACAAAACAGAAGTACCTAATAATCAACTTAACACATAGACAAGAGTAAATAATAATGCAATTACGTGTCACTTAGACACCAATGATTAACAAGATACTCACCCTCGGGCCAGTCTAGCCTAGCCAGTCACCCTCACCAATCCAGCCTAGCCTCTTACACAGACCTTTGCCTTCCGGGAGCCAGGACCAGAATTTGTCTGTCTTCTCCCCACCTCCAAAATTCACCAAATTTTGATTCTGATGTCTGGTAAGCCTGTGCAAGTCCAGAGGCCAGGTAGAAATATGGGTGTGTCTGTGTTACTCAAACTCAATGCACCGGGAAGCTACTGGAAGCCAGCCTTTGGAATTTTTCTTGGCATTTCTGGCTACCCTGTCTTCATAAGCCCTTTTTGCTTCCTATTTAATGTCCTATTTTGATTTTTCCAAGATTTATTTTTGCAGTCTCCGTGGTGTAGTGGTAAGACACTCGTCTGGCGTTCCGCGAGCACTATGTCATGGGTTCGTATCCTGGCCGGGGAGGATTTACTGGGCGCAATTCCTTAACTGTAGCCTCTGTTTAACGCAACAGTAAAATGTGTACTTGGATGAAAAAACGATTCTTCGTGGCAGGGGATCGTATTCCAGGGACCATAGGATTAAGGACTTGCCCGAAACGCTACGCGTACTAGTGGCTGTACAAGAATGTAACAACGCTTGTATATATCTCAAAAAAAAAAAAAAAAAAAAAAAAAACACTTAAACAATGGCTATGGAGAAATGGTCATACAGTACCCACTTATGAACACATAATATAAAAATTCCATAAAATTATTTTTCCATTATAAAATTATTAATGTGCATGCAAAATGTAAGAAATACATGAAAATAGGTGAATATTTATAGTTTCACTGGGTGGAGGCGTTCTGTAAGGTTGCGTCTGGCACTTGTCACCGCCCGGTGTTCGACTTTGCTGACGCTTTCTGTTTTATCCTCGGATGTTTCACAAATTATTTTACCACTTTTTCCTTTATTTACATCCATAGAGAGCTATTAAATCCATATTTGCATGATACATGTAAAACCCTGACAATAATTGTTTAAATTGTCATATGACAATGATTGCATTCCCCCAAGAAACATTCATGACAATAACCGCCTTCACACCATGAAATGTCGGCAGGATTTTTTCATGGGTCAAGGTGAACTCCATTACATTCCCATAGACCTATTATAACCATATTTGCATCATACATGTAAAACCCAAGCAATAATTATTTAAATCTTCATATGATGATAACCACAGTACCCTAATCAAGAATTGACGATGTCCGCTGCCTAAAAGTTAATTAAATCATATGACCACTTAAATTTGAAGAGCAAAATATTTCACTTTCTTACAATTTTTGCAAGAACCATGCACAGCATCATAGAAAGCTGCACATCATAATGTTTATTCTAACAGTTTCATATTATATAGCTTTCATGTTTCAATATCTTATCAGAGTATATTCAATTCTAAAATTTGTTTGGTTTGTTTCTTGACATTGGTGCAGATGTTAGACTTTTTTTTATCATTACTGTTCATTAACTGGTGACAGTCTAGATACAGGTAGATACAGGCGACATCCTAGGAACAAGTCAGATGTGACAGCTAAGTGGCTGAAAACTAGTGGCCTAACCCTATAGATACCCCAAGAAAACTATATTTGTATTAACAACCCCACAAAAGCCGTGACGAGGATTCGAACATATGTCCGAGATCTTCCCAGACGCTGCCTTAGTCGACTAAGCTACGACATGGTCAAAAAGAGTTGAAACCAGCATCTGGGAAGATCTCGGACGTAGGTTCGAATCCTCGTCATGGCCCTTGTGGATTTGTTCATTGATGCATCACGCTATTGTGATTTGTATGTGTATATTTGTATTTTCCTGCCTGTTTTCTTATCTACCTAAATTTTCCTAAAATAATAAAGAAACCACTATTTTCTTCTTTTGGGCACAATACTGTATGTTAAAATAAGATCATGCAATGAATTTATGTACAGTAATGATTTGAATATTAGGAAATATGATAAATGGTAGCAAAACATATCCAGTATTTGATACTTAAAGTTAGTTTTGGGTTTTTCATTATCACAGAAAAATTAGTAAAACTAAATTTCAAGCTTATTTTCGATTAATAATTTACATCTGCATTCACCAGCTTGGCTTACCATGCTTCACAGTGATGGAGCTGGCACTGCCGGCTGACGAGGCTATACAGAATGTTGGCCGTGTATAATCTGCTGCAGCTGTGGGATTCAAGACTATGTATGTCCAATGAAGACTACTCCATAGATACAGTTGTAGAACCAATTTAAGGGACTTGCACCACAAAATGTTTCTTCAGAAGTTAGCTACCTGTCAAGGTAAGAGAGAATTGATACAATATTACACTTGGTAAATAATAATACTGTGCTGAATGTAGTACAGTATAGAGTATCGATATCTCAATTATAAAGAATCAGTTGACTGGAAGTCTAGTTGCAGTGATAGGCTTAAAATCCTGTTAACTGAGCTTGTGTCCAGATTATATAGATTAAATGTTCAGAAAAACAAGAGAATCTGGATAACTGATAGTTTTGCTAGTGTACCTGATATATTACAGACGACAATGTGCTTTCAGGACGCCATTTATCCAAATATGCCCATTATCCATTTTAGGTTTGTCTGAAAAAAGTTTGATTAACTGGTAGGGGGGGCAGGCAGTTTGAATAAAAATGTGCGATAAAGATGGAAGTAGTATGTCCAGTGACCATACTTGGCGCCACTTGAGCACTGTTCATACACTAATGGATGGCTCTGAAGGTTTAAGCCCTGCCATGGCATTAGGTACATTACAGTTTATGATGAAAGGCAGTCTGCTGAGGTTACTCCATCACCATTAATCTCCACTTCAATTAACCCAACACTATCACTATCCACCACTACTTTTTCCATCTAAATAACAATGCTCCATCAACTATAATCTTCAAGTTAACAAGCGGATCAGAACTTCTCATATTGGTGAGTACAAACAAAATACTGTAGAATTTCTGCAACAAAATTGTCAACTTTTTTCCCCTGGTTTTTTAGGATGATGAATCACTTACCTGGATACAACAGGTTATCCGTTTAGTCTCAGTCCCAAGGAGATTGGGAAGCATGTGGTCTTCTGTACATATATACCAAAGGTATAGATACCAGTACAGTACTTAATATTTCAAGCCATCCTCTAAAAATGATAGTACAGTGATGATCAAACTCCACACCAGAAGATGAGGAGACAACAACATTTCGGTCGGTCCTGGACCGTTATCAAGTCGACTGTGATGGGAGCGAGGGTTTGATTAGCTTTTTTTTTACATGCTGCTCCAGCCTGTTGTGCAACTTTCAGTGAATGGTGGATTTTGACTCCAAGGTCTTTTCCTTCTTCAATCTGCTGCAAGGTTATGTTATTAATTTGGTAGCAGTGATGTGGATTATTATGCCCCATATGCAAGGTCTTGCATTTTTTATATTAAAGAGCATTTGCCAGTCTTCCAACCATTTGTGAAGTTCATGTGCATTACCTATCCTGTCCTAGGCCTAAATAAGCAATCCTAGACCTAATATATGCCTTCTGAGGCCTAATTTAGTACAAATATGTTCTATGCAAGGCCAGGAAAGTTTAGAATTGGGTAAAGTAATTGTCAGGAGAAATCACCAAGCCATGACTATACAGTATAGCACTTGGAAGGGATCAGTATAAGGATTTGGGATTGGACGGGGAGGGGAGAAAGGAATGGTGCCCAACCACTTGGACGGTCAGATCTTGAACGCTGACCTGCAAGACATGAGACCGTCGCTCTACCGTCCAGTCAAAGTGGTTGGGATTAGCTGTTGCCATCTTTCTTGAGGCTTCTATAAAATTAATACAGTAGTACAGAACATGTTTTTTTGTTTTATTTGAGTGCACCAGTCCATTTTTTAATGCTCAACTAATAGTCAATGTAAGTATTCATTCTTAAATGACAGGCTGCAATATTTAAGATGTAGGAACTTTCTTGGACAATGTTTCTCATCATCTCAGAGTTTGTCAATTGGTAATGCTCAACATGTAATTACTGTACAGTATAATGATGACTACAGCACAACTATCCCCTCAGAATCAACTACATGAAACTGGGTTAAATGGCCTTCACAGCAGTGTTTACTAATTAGTAATACTCAAATAAAATAATCCATACCCCTATTTTGCATAGTTATTCAGTCTTGGTCCTCTCCTCATTCTCATTTACATCAATGACCTTCCAAATGCCACTCAACATCTGAAGCCAATTCTATTTGCTGATGACACAATCTTCACTTTCTCCAATCCTAATACTGTACTCTTATTCTAACTAACATAGTGAATACTGAACCATAAACAGTCCATCTTTGGCTAACTGCTAACAAACTCACCTTTAACACTGATAAAATGTTCTGTTTTGTTTGGTAATAAATCCACTGATCAAATTAATATAAGAATTAACAATACCCAAATTAGTACTAGCAGATAGTAAATTCATTGATGTTCTCATTGATAAGTTGAATTTCTGGTGCAATATACCAAATATAGCCCCCAAAAATGATAAAACAGTTGAGATTCTTTCTAAATCAGATACTATGTACCTTGCTATGTCCTGGTAATGTTCTATTACTCTCTCATTATTATTATTTTTTTTTTTTTTTTTTTTTTTTTTTTTTTTTTTTTTGAGATATATACAAGAGTTGTTACATTCTTGTACAGCCACTAGTACGCGTAGCGTTTCGGGCAGGTCCCTGGAATACGATCCCCTGCCGCGAAGAATCGTTTTTTCATCCAAGTACACATTTTACTGTTGCGTTAAACAGAGGCTACAGTTAAGGAATTGCGCCCAATAAATCCTCCCTGGCTCATCTATCCTTATCTCACCTATGGTATGTGCTTGGGGTTCTACTACCCAAAATTATCTTTGAGCCTTAATTACTCAATACAAATCAGCAATTAGAACATAAACTCAAGCTCCAGACAGCATATGGTCCCTTACTTAAATCTGTGAATATGTTAAATATTTAAATCACCACACATCCTCTCAAGTGTATTTTATATACTGTATATGTATAAAACATTAAACTGCAATGCTAATCCCAACTTTTAGTGCTTTGTAGCAGGCTGTGACAGCACCCATGGATTCTTCACTAGAAACAAATATATTTCTATTATTCCAAGAGTACTACCTAACCAAGGCAGAAATGCTCTGCAAATTAAGTGTCACAAAATGTGAAATGACCTCCTTAGTCACATTAAAGACTTCTTTCAACCAGTTTAAAAGGGAATCCGAGAGCTACCTAATTAACTATGTAACCAATCATACCTCCTATGTTATCATACCTCAGTATACAATGCCATTGGCTTTAGGCATTGTACTTCTCTTGCCTAGGAATCTTACACTGTTCTTATGTACTTTTGCCTAAAATTATTATTATTATTATTATTAAAATGGATCATGGCAAGATGCCTTACATTCCCACCAAGTTCAGTTTGAATCTTTAAAAGAGCCATAAGTATGCTTTGGATGAATTTGATATCTCCCAGCAGAGTACAAAATGCTGTAACACATTTAGGACATCTTACTTAATATTTAGATTGAGGGGTACTAAAGAGCTAAAGTTCAAGCCCTACAAGTACAGCAAGGTGAACATCATGCAGGATAGTAGATGGGAATAAAAGTGGTGGGTGTGGCAAATGAGGGTGTGAAAAGGTTCATTGGAAATTAGGATGAGATGGGCAGAAATGGGTGGGTGGGCACATTGATGGGTTACCATTAGGTGGGCACATTGATGGGTTACCATTAGGTGGGCACATTGATGGGTTACCATTAGAGAGAGCTATTGTTGGGGCAGGAGTAGGGAATTATCAGGGAAAAGTGCCAAGCAGTTAAAACTATATAGCACTTGGAAGGAGTCAGGATTTAGGGTGGGATGGGGCAGAGGAATGGTGCCCAATCACTTGGACAGATGGGTATTGAATGCCAACCTGCACGAAGCAAGGCCGTTGCTCTACTGTCCAGCCCAAGTGGTGGGACAGGAGTAATCAACTTGTGCTTGTTGAGGTTAAGCTTCAGCTATTTGGTCACTGCATTCATTAACCTGGTGTACAGGTTTCTAAGCCTATTTGGTTCCGTTATATCCACATTTGAAACCGTGTACAGAGTCTGGGCCTGAACCTCTTCACTATAGTGCATTCCATTTGCCATGACACTGAAAAAGTATGTATGTCCCATTATTTGTGTTCCACTCATTCTACATAATCTGACCATGATTGCCATGTCACTTCCTCTACAAAGTGTGTATGCTGTAATCATGTCCGCCCAGTTCTTCTGTCTTCTTGTGATAAGGTGTAATGTCTTCAGTCATTCCTCATAGTAACTATATGCTCTCTTGCCTCAAGTAAAGTGATGTAATTAGAATTAGTCTACTATCCTTATAACTTGGCCACAAGTTTGAGTAAAATTAAAACTTGCAAGTTAAAACTGTAACAAGTTCACCACAAATATAACTTGCTTAGAGACACTGAAGTCCAGTTTGTGAGGCCAATATGTGAGTGACCTCTGGGCCAGCGCCGCCAGGATGGTCTGGAGCTCATAATATACTCAAATAAGACTCCATTACTGGGACAGTCTCAGCACCAATCTTGTGCCAGGTAAATCCACTACGGGCTCACCATAGCCCGTGCTACTTGCCCCGCTCCTGTGCCAGGTAAGTTACGGGCTCACCATAGCCCGTGCTACTTGGAACTTGTTCCGAGTAGCTGAATCTATAACAACATCCATTACTGCACCAGGAAGAGCGTCCTGGGATGCCCGTAGCCAGGCGAGTGTCTGTCTCAGTGTGAGGTCACTGCCCTCCCTCCAGCCCTCTCCCACATCACTAACCCACCGTGGTGCATCATATACAGTGGGGAGCGGGGTCCAGCGGTACAGCTTACCCAGGTGTGTATGAGAGAGAGGAGAGCGTGACAGGTGCAGTGGTGGCCCAGCTGTTTCTGACGCCACCCACCTCCACCACAACCAACACTAGTAAACAACCCTTCCCAAACCTCTCTACACTTGCGCTCCTCTATTATTGACTATATCACCAACATTTTATACAAACTGGAAAGTTTTGTATTAATGTTAGGTGGTTGATTTGATCGTTAATGCCAGGTAATTGATTTGTTGTGTTAAAATAAGACATTTGCAAAGCGAAGTCGGAGCCGCAGGCACCATCTCGGATGCGCCACGACGCATCGCCAATAACAAGAGACTTTTTATTGTTATTTACTTAGCTAAACGAAGTTGAGGGTTCAGTTCCTGAACCGATTATGTGCCTCTGTAATTCTTTACACCACCGCCCACGGGATGGGTATGGGGTGCATAATATAGAAAGAAATTGTAGAGACTTTGTTACTGAGACTTTGTGATGCTGCCAGACTCCCGAGGCCCCCCCAGTCACCCCTCGGATGGCTTGGTGGGAGGGTGTGCGGCAGCGCTCCTCTCTATTATGCCCTTTAAACCTGACTTTAACTTCACAGACGGACTCGAGAAAAGCTGGGATATGTCAGCCACAATTGAAAGATCTCGGGTGCAATTCTTGTTGCAGGACAAAGACGTTCGGGCTCGTTTTGTTGCAACAAACGTGGGGTAAAATAGGTACGGCCGGGAGTTAGATAAATGCGGGGTGTATCCTGGAAAAGATCAGTGGTTGGACTAGAGAGGATAAGTTTAATTAACAGCCTTCCTAACTGTCCCTGACAATGGGAAACCTCTTCACATTAGACTAGACACCATCATCGCCTATACCCACAACAACTTTGAAAATGAGAAAGAGAATGAATTAAGGAAAATTGCCACAAGGTGCTGGTCTTAAATTATACTCTGGGATTGTAGTCTTCCAGTTTGATCCTGCTCCGTTCACCCATTATGTGCCTCTGTAACCCTTTCCACTACCGCCCACAACATGGGTATGGGGTGCATAATAAATGAACCAAAAAGCAAGAAACTTTCATTTAGGCTACACAGTGAATCAGCTTTAGACAATCTTACAGAGGCACTTCACAATATTAACTGGGATTCTGAATTCAATAATACCCATGATATAAATTCATTAGCTAACCTCTTCCTCTCCAAAACTCTAAGGCTCTACAACCTTCATTGTCCCCTTCTTACCAAACAAGTAACTGACAAAAGATTAAACAATCCATGGCTCACAAGTGGCATTCTCAACTCAATCAACAAGAAACATGAATATGAAAAGAAAGTTAGGATTGGCCTAGTTTCAAAGGAAGTAGCTAAAAGATACTCATCAATGCTTACCAGTATCATAAGAAAGGCAAAACTTGCATATTATGTGAATAGATTCAATGAAGCAAAAGGCAACATGAAAAACACTTGGAAAATTATCTCTAGTATCCTAGGAACTAAACAACACTCACATAACCAAATAAAACTCTACAAGGATGGGGATATACCGTCAACTGATTTAGAAATGGCAAATGAATTTAATAGTTTCTTTTCATCGGTTGGTGCTAATCTTGCCAGTAAAATCCCACAGACTCAGACACATATTAACACATATCTCTCAGGCAGCTATCCAAACTCTCTTCTCCTTTCACCAATCAGCCCGGCAGATGTTGTGTCCATCATACACTCTCTAAAAACCAAGGCAGGGAACACCAGTGAAATTTCGTCCATTGTGTACAAGAGAGCCTCCCATGCCCTTGCCCCACCCATAGCACTACTGTTCAACAAATCTATAGAGTGTCACACCTTCCCTGATATCCTCAAAAAAGCAAGAGTAACGCCAGTCCATAAAGGAGGCAATCCGGCGGACATAAACAATTATAGACCAATATCAAATCTACCCATTCTATCAAAAATATTTGAAAAAATTATTTACAAACAGCTCTATTCCTACCTCGTAAAATTCGACATACTCAGCCCCTGCCAGTTTGGCTTCCGGTCCCAAAAGAGCACCAACGATGCAATCATTAGTCTCCTTGACATTATCTACTCAGCCCTTGACAAAAATGAGTTTCCGATTGGACTCTTCATTGACCTAAGAAAAGCCTTTGATACTGTTAATCACAACTACCTCTTACTTAAACTCCAGCATTATGGAATCCGAGGCCTTGCCCTTGACTACATCCGATCCTATCTTAGTGACAGACACCAATATGTAACCATCAATGATACAACTTCTTCCACTCTACCAATTACCGTTGGAGTGCCACAGGGCAGCATCTTAGGACCTCTTCTATTTCTTATATATATAAACGATCTGCCTAATGTCTCTAATATTCTCAAACCTATACTGTTTGCTGACGATACTACTCTTATCTATTCAAACCTCAACCCACATACACTAAATAATGTTGTGAATAATGAATTAAAAAAAGTCCACTTATGGATGTCAACGAACAAACTAACATTAAACATCGAAAAGACTTACTACATCTTATTTGGAAGCAAATCATCAAATGCAATTCAGCTACAGATAGACAACATCAACATCAGTAATAAAAATGATGGCAAATTTCTTGGCCTATTCCTAGACAAGAGACTCAACTTCAGCACCCACATTCAACACATAACTAAGAAAGTCTCTAAGACAGTTGGTATACTCTCCAAAATCAGATATTATGTTCCTAACTCTGCTCTCCTCTCACTATATTATGCACTAATCTACCCCTATCTTAATTATGGTATCTGTGCATGGGGGTCTACCACTGCAAACCACCTTAAGCCCATCATCACACAGCAAAAATCTGCTATCAGAATAATAACTAACTCTGCTTTCAGACAACACTCAGCTCCATTGTTTAAATCCCTAAACTTGCTAAATATTAACTCCCTCCACACATTCTCTTGTGTCAACTACATTTACAAAACCCTGTTCTCAAATGCAAACCATGCTCTGAAACTCTCCCTGGACAGATGTAATAGGACCCATTATCACCACACCAGAAATAAATATCTCTTTGATATCCCCAGGGTCAAACTTAATCTGTGTAAACACTCTATGCAAATTAAGGGACCTAGTCTATGGAACTCACTCCCTAGTGAATTGAAAAACTGTAAAACTTTTGCCTTATTTAAAAGCAAAACCAAAAAGTACCTAACTTCATCTTCTTAGTTTCCTACACTGAGCTTTAAATTTGCTCTGTACCTAGTGTTACCCAATCTCCTAATTTTTATGTAATATCAAACAACCTTATCATTGTGTTCATTGCTGTCTTCTTCTATGTGCTAGCCATATGCTGTATTGTGACTACCAATTTTTGTCAACTACCATTCAAGCTGTCATTGCAACCAATCTTATATTGTTTCTGCTGTATTGTGCCTACCAATTTTTTGTCAATTACCATTCAAGCTGTCATTGCAATCAATCTCAGCTACCTATGTGCTTTAATATACTGTACCTACAATTTTCTCTCATCTTTTTTTCATTTCATGTAATCTGTTATCATTTTTTGTCTATAATTTTTGCAAGTATTTACCTCCTTAAAATTTTCTTAGATTAAGGACCTGCCCGAAACGCTGCGCGTGCTAGTGGCTTTACAAGACTGTAATTACCATATTTGTATCCTCACATTCCTTATGTACATTCTTGTATATGCATAAATAAATAAATAAATAAATAAATAGGTACCTGGGAGTTAGACATCTGCTACGGGATGCTTTCTGGGGTCTGCGTAGAAAAAAAAAATCAGTTGATTGACAGTTAAGAGGCGGGCCAAAAGAGCCAGAGCTCATCCTCCCCACAAGCACAACTAGGTGAATAATCGGCTGCTATTATTAGCTACTAATAATTAATTGACAATACTCATAATAATGGGTGATTATATGGGCTTGCTCGGCTGGACCTTCAGTCGTTGGGTCACCGGCAGCATATAAATAATAATTAAACAACTGCAAACAATTAATTAACAATAATCACAATGATTAAATACAAGGCATGCTCAGCTGTAAGACCGTCAGCTGAGCCTGCAGCTGCTGGCTCATCGGCTGGAACCACATCAGTCGGCACGTCCGCAGCTGTGCTTGGCCCCCAGGGGCGCTCAGCTTGGAACACCACCAGCTGGGCCATCAGCTGCTGGATCATCGGCTGGGACCACGTCAGCCGGAACCTCAGCAGCTGTGCTTGGCCCCCAGGGGCGTGCTCAGCTTGGAACACCACCAGCTGGGCCATCAGCTGCTGGATCATCGGCTGGGACCACGTCAGCCGGAACCTCAGCAGCTGTGCTTGGCCCCCAGGGGCATGCTCAGCTGGAACACCCCCAGCCGGGCCATCAGCTGCTGGATCATCGGCTGGGACCACGTCAGCCGGAACGTCAGCAGCTGTGCTTGGCCCCCAGGGGCGTGCTCAGCCTGGAACACCACCAGCTGGGCCATCAGCTGCTGGATCATCGGCTGGGACCACATCGACCGGAACATCAGCAGCTGCCCCAGGGGGGGGGGCTGGGCGTGGCCCCCAGGGGGCACGCTCAGCTGGCCCATCAGCTGCATGGGTCATCGGCAGCGTATCCACGTCGGCCGGTACATCAGCAGCTGTGCCCGGTCCGAAGGCAGCTGAGCCAATAACTGCTGGATCATCGGCAGGGATCACATCAGCGGCAAAACAAATGAGTAGCGAAATTATAAAAACCAGTATGATAATTGAATATGAGGATAATAATAAACAGGGAATAATAATAAACAGGGGTCCGTCTAATTATCAGAAGCCACCCAAGCCTCACAAAGCTTCAGAAAGCTCCCTGGCAATACGTTAGCAATGAATAAATATGATATGTTAGGTTAGGCTGACCTAACCTAAACTAACCTAACCTAACTTAACCAAACCAAACCTAACCTAACTCACGCTTGGATCGTCGACTTTATTTGGCGTCACCAGCTCTTTATTTTCGTCTAATTTCTTAATAAAAATATACTTTTTCAGATTAAAATTAAGTTCTCGTGTTGTACATTCAGCACCAACATATTATAATGAGTAAATATATCACATGTATTCACCACCAACACAAGCCCCCTGAAGCTCCGCGAAGCCCGCGCAGCCCGCGGCAACCAGTCGGACCGATAAACAGGGAACACGCCGGGCACTGGGGATATTCCTAACTAAAACAGGGCGCCGCACACGCGGGCGTGGAGGGAACACGGGCAGGACTGTACCTTAGGATAATGGAGATGGGCCGGCTGCTCTGGAACGCCTATGGCTAACACTGAAAACTTCACTCAATCTGTAGCCCCGTGTGGGCCGCCCTTGCAGGCGACAAGGGGTGGCGTTGAAGGCTAAGTCGAAGGCGCATAGTCGACAGAGGTACTGGCGTCGTAGTCTACGTGTAACGTGTACAAGTTATGAAACCCGAGCCCGACTAGTTGTCTAACCGCAAGCCTAGCATGAACGAACCAAACAAACAACCTCTGGATCACAACCATGCACGAAAGGAAGCCCGACCATGCACAACCCGAAGCTCAAGTGACACCTCCGGAGCCCGACCAGTTATTTAACCGGAGCCCGACCAGTTATTTAACCGGAGCCCGACCAGTTATTTACCCGGAGCCCGACCAGTTATTTAACCGGAGCCCCACCAGTTATTTAACCGGAGCCCCACCAGTTATTTAACCGAAGCCCCACCAGTTATTTAACCGAAGCTTGACCAGTTGTGTAACCAGACCCCGACCAGTTGTGTAACCGTAAGCCTAGCAAGTATACATCTCATCCAACCCCCATAAAGCTAAACAGTCCCAGAGCACAACCAAACTCCATTCCTAGCTCGACCAAACAAAATTCTTAGCGCTACCTAAAACCCTCCACTTGCCCTAGAACCAACTATGGAGCCATATCAAAAACGGATGGCGGCGGAGCGTTTAGTAGTGTATCTGGCGAGGCGGAGGCGAGCCTTGTGAGTATCTTCCTGTGAGTACCTGCCAGCGAGTTTTCATATGTCCAAGCTGCCTGGACCTCTGTGCACGCTCTGGACACTCGTGAGGTTTAACACCTGGATGCAGTAACATATGGACTTCATACATAAGACGCCTGAATCTTTTCCACATCTGTAGTACTGAGCTTTACACATATGGGTAGCTCCGCAGGCTCTGCTCTGAGAAATAAACATAAATCCACATGATTCTCGACTTCATACATCGAAGACGCCTGATCTCATCATAGGGACAGGACGACCGAATCTCTCACCACACTCTGGACACTCGTGAGGAATTGTCATCTGAATGCACGAAAATGTGTCTTCATATGACGAAGCAGACTGAACCTCTTCCCACACTGTGGGACACTCGTGAGATTTAGCATCTACACTTGTGGGGTTTGTCAGCCGAATGTAATAAAACATGAGCGGTCATACTTCGAAAATGCCTGAACCTCATTCCCACACTCTAGGCACTTATAAGGATTCTCCCCCGAATGCACTAACATGTGAGTCTTTATATTTCCACGCTGACTGAATCTCCTCCCACACTCAGGACACTCGTGAGGGTTGTCACCCGAATGCACCATGTGAGTCTTCATGCCTCCAAGCTGACTGAAGCTCTTCCCACACTCTGGAGACTTATGAGCTTTCACCTTCGCGACAAGTGCAGAATATGTGAAGAATTTCGTGAGCACTTGGCGCTCAATGGTGATGCTCCATTATGATAGGCGCAGGAATGAATGAATTAAATATTTAAATATAGGTCAAGATACCCTAATGGGTGAGCGTGGAAGTGGGGAGAGGGGAAGAATTAGTGGGGGTGAGAGGAAGGGTTTTCAGTATGAGGTAAAGTGCCAGGACTAGACCCAGCTGCATGGCATTGAAATCGTTATGACCAGACTAGGCAGTGAAGGCAAGGAATCGAATCTCTGTGACAACATTTCGTCTTTTCTGAGCACCCACGGAGACAGCAGCCCTCAGCTGGGTGTGCCCTGGAGGCTCACACCAGATGTGGTCTTAGATCTGTTAATCAGCATCGCGCCCCACCCAAGGCACCAGAAAACGGGAGCTAGTTGGTCCCCCCCTAAAGAGGGGGAGAAGAGTTAGGAGGCTATAGTTGGAAGTTTGGTGATTTGAGTAGTGATATTATAGGAGAGGGGTTATGTAAAGGACGGAGCAGGAGGTGGATCGTCGATCAGGTTAAAGAGGGTGTGCGTATGTCTGGGTCTGCTTAGGACGTTTCTAAGGAACGTGTCGTAGTTGTCATGATAGGTGAGAATTCTGTCAATCTGTTTCTTCCCCATAGTATCCCAGGTTATGTTCAGAGGTGGGATGTTCGCCCACTCATGCAGGGCCTCACTGGTGGTGAAGTCCTGCCAATGGGTATCGAACACCCATCTCAGAGCCCTGTTCTGGGTACGCTGGAGTTTCTTCCTATTTGTTGGTGCTGCAAGTGTGAGTGGGATCGGTGCATATGTTAGGAGTGGGAGAATAAGTGTTTTGTATAAATAGAGCTTGGTGGCTTGGGAGGCATGTTTGAGTGGGTAGAGTTTTGATAGAGCGTTTGAGGCTATAGCTTTCTTGGGTGTTATGTGTGTGTGAAAGCGAAGGTTGAAGTCTAGTGTGAGTCCAAGTACTGTGGTTTTGTTGACTCTTGGGATCTGGGTTGCATCTGGTGATTGAGAGTAGAGTTTTACTGGGTCAGGGTTACGTCGTTTGTTGTAGAAAAAGTATGTAATTTTTGACTTGTTGGGGTTTGTTTTTATTCGCCAGTCGTGTTCCCAGAGGGTGACTTTGTCTATTTCTTGTTGTGCTTTCCGTGTGAGGGCGTTAATCGTATAGTCTGTGATCAGTTGGGTTACGTCGTCAGCGTAGCAAAGGGTCATTGATGTCCAGTATATTGGGTCAGGGATGTCGTTTATATAGAGTATGTATAAGGTTGGTGAAAGAACTGAGCCCTGTGGGACACCTGCATTTAGGTTGAAATAACCTGACAGCTTGCTGAGGAACTTGATCTGCATCTTTCTATTTGTTAGAAAGCTGCAAAGTAACCTCTGCATGTTGTCAGATAGTTGAAACAGAGTGCAGAGTTTGTAACGTAGGCCGTCGTGCCATACAGTGTCAAAAGCTTTTTCGACGTCCTTTGCAATGAGGGCCGTCTTGGCCCTCTGGTGTTTATTTATGGAGAGGTAGTTTGTTATTATGTTCAGTGCGTCTTGTGTTGAGCGGTGTTGTCTGAAGCCAAATTGTTTGTCTGTCAATATGTTTTTGTGTTCTAGGTGATTCCTGAGTTTATGATTAATGAGTTTTTCGTATACTTTCCCTAATGTCTCTAGTAAGCTGATCGGTCTGTAGTTCTTAGGGTCTGTCGGGGATTTTTGGGGTTTTGGAATGAGGATTGCTGTGGCTTCTTTGAATGGGCTTGGGAAATATCCTGATGCTAGTGAGGCGTTGTAGACGTCTGTGAGTGCAAAGATTAGGGGGTCTGGAAGTTGCTTGAGGAGAGCTTGGCCAATGCCAGAGGCTCCTGGGGCTTTACGTCTGGTGTTCTTGAGCATGAGTTTAACTTCTTCAGGTAGTATTGATTCTGTGAGGTCACTTTCTAAGTCGTCTAGTGTCGTGAGGTCAATGGTAGGGTAGTGTGTGATGGCATGAGGGTTGTGTCGTATCCATGTTTCTACTCTGTTTATGTTTTGTATTGCTGTTGGCTGTGGGGGGTGGGGATTGAAGATGTCCTGCCAGTGTTGTTTGAATATGCCTACTACTTCTGAGGGATCGGTGTAGTTTAGTCCGCGTCTCGCATTTAAGTACCCCCTCGGTGCGCGCGCGCGCTACATAGTCGGTTAGTCTCCGACTCATGGTAATGCATTTTCTTCTTCGCAGAATTTCACCGCTTTTCTGAGAAAATCAGTGATTATATTTAGAAATATCACATTCTTCCCACTTGGATTGGACGTTAGAGCGAAGGTCTCGCTTCCTGCAGGTCGGCGTTCAATCCCCGACCGTCCAAGTGGTTGGGTACCATTCCTTTCCCCCCGTCCCATCCCAGATCCTTATCCCGACCCCTTCCAAGTGCTATATAGTCATGATGGCTTGGTGCTTTCCCCTGATAATTGGCTAGTCTTGTACATGCACTCTGGCTGGTGTAGATGAGCTCGGGCCAGTATACAGGAGAATGGGCCTCATAGTAGCTTGTCCATGGTAAACTTGGCAGAGTTGAATAAATCGAATTGAATGGTGATAAATGATATACTTTAATCCAGTTTTCAACTTGTTAATTAATTATTATTCAACGTACTCGTTTACCTTCAGTTCAGCTCCCTAGCTACACCTACGTAACGGGACCCAAGAGCCGAAGCTCAACCCCTGCAAGCACAAGTAGGTGAGTACATGTTATCTGACATAACACAAATCAAATGTATCAAAAGAAAATTACAAATAATAATAATATATGACATATTTAGAAATATAACATTATTATTATTATTATAAAGAGTTCGTACATTATGATATAATGATATATCATAATGACATAATGATATATCATAAATTTATATATGTTAAATAAAACGTAGCTATACTCTACACTAATACAGATACTATGTTGGTAAATATTACGATTATTACATAGGCATAAAATAAATAGTGTAAGGTAGTGTGTGGAGCCCCGTGTAGGCCAGTAGCCCCTCAGCGACCAGACAATAACAAACTCTGCCGTGAATCTGGTTATTATGTAACTTTTCCAGTATATTACAGCCTCCATTATGCCTGACATCAAAGCCACACCTCTTGGTTAGTGTTACTGTTGGTTTAGAGTAACGTGTTACTTGGCCAGCTCCAAACTTTACAGGAAAGTGCCTTAGTCGTTTGTTTCTGGGTGCCCACACGGTCACCAGGGCAGCCCCTGGCCCACTCCAGCACCTGGGCATCTTGTGGCCCGTGGTCCACACCATCACTAGGGCATCCCATGGTCCACTCCAGCACCTGGGCATCTTGTGGCCCGTGGTCCACACCATTACTAGGGCAGCCCCTGGCCCACTCCAGCACCAGGGCATCTTGTGGCCCGTGGTCCACACCATCACTAGGGCAGCCCCTGGCCCACTCCAGCACCAGGGCATCTTGTGGCCCGTGGTCCACACCATCACTAGGGCAGCCCCTGGCCCACTCCAGCACCTGGGCATCTTGTGGCCCGTGGTCCACACCATCACTAGGGCATCCCATGGTCCACTCCAGCACCTGGGCATCTTGTGGCCCGTGGTCCACACCATCACTAGGGCATCCCATGGTCCACTCCAGCACCTGGGCATCTTGTGGCCCGTGGTCCACACCATTACTAGGGCAGCCCCTGGCCCACTCCAGCACCAGGGCATCTTGTGGCCCGTGGTCCACACCATCACTAGGGCAGCCCCTGGCCCACTCCAGCACCAGGGCATCTTGTGGCCCGTGGTCCACACCATCACTAGGATACCCCATGGTCCACTCCAGCACCTGGGCATCTTGTGGCCCGTGGTCCACACCATCACTCGGGCATCCCATGGTCCACTCCAGCACCTGGACATCTTGTGGCCCGTGGTCCACACCATCACTAGGGCATCCCATGGTCCACTCCAGCACCACGACAGTTTGTGGCCTGCACCATGATTGCTAAGAACTGTAGGATAACCTGAACTTAATGAAGTTGGGTGCTAGGAAAAACAAAAAGACACCAGACACGAGGTACCATATTACAGAGGAAACCCCCACTTGAGATAAAACAGATGAAATACTTAGGGTGGGGCTGTTACACAGAACCTGTCACATGGACCTCATTTCCAAGGGCAGGGTTATAAAGGGGCCCCAAAAGAAGTTGTGTTATGTCATTGCTGCTCTTGAAACCCACCTAACCAATTCTAACAAAAATAAAATAATTTGATTTCTATATAATATTGTGTGTGTGACATCACTGAGATAATCAGGTTGCATCTTGAGAGCTTTTGGATACTACAGCCATCAAAGAATATCAGCTACCTATATATGCAAGGCTGGCCAATGTAAGAATTGCCTTTAGGAATGTGAACAAAGTCTTTCAGTCTAAATCACATGTCGTTAATTCTGGAATATTTGGCACAGTGTGGAATCTTTATCTTGTTAAATATAAAACAAAGACAAAATCAGAGATATTCCTCTAGACTAGTCTCAAAGCTGAGAGGTGAAAGTTAGATGGAAATAATATAGGAATTAAACTTCATGTCACTGGAAGAGAGAAGAAACAAGGGAGATATGATCACTACATACATAAATATTCATACTCCGCCCAAGTAAAACAGAAACAAGCAACACATAGTGGGCCAGCCAGAGGCTTAGGGTCCGTGCAGGAATATCCCTGCAAAACAAACAACAAAAATTCTCAGGCTAATCATAATGCATAGTCTAAATGGATGGATATAAAGGTCAGATAAATAATAAGTAATAATATTTATACAAGTGTACATATACAGTATATGATAGAGGAATGCACTAATATGCAAAGCATTTTGGCTGTAATGTAAAAAATTTGGGGTAATACTAAAACTAAATGAGAAAAGTTAAATTTTTTTTAATTGTGGAAGATAAAAAATGATTGAAAATTTTTAAAATGACATTTGGAGACTAATTTTTGCAATATTACATCAAATTTTTATAATTGTAGAAGAGATTAAACAGATGGTATAAAAAGTTTATGGTACTATATTTAGATGTGCCAGTTGTTAGCAACAGTGCAAATTTAGTAATTATATAATGTTCACAAGAGCAGCAAACACAGGTTGACATGGAGCATGTGAAGGTGTGAGTGGAGTTGGTTACATAGAGTTCAGTAGTTTTTGGTTTCTCTTTTGAACTGGTTGAAAGAAATCTCTAATCTCTTAGGGAGGTCATTCCACAGTTGAGGATCTTTTAGAGAGGTCATTCTACAATTGAGGATCCTTAGGGAGGTCATTCCGCAGTTGAGGATCCTTCATTTGCATAGCATTTTTGCTTTGGTTAAGACTCATTCTTGGCTTATCAAAAAGATATTTGTTTCTAATGTGGTGCCCATGGGTTCTGTTACAGCCATCTATGAAGTGCTTAAGGTCAGGATTAGCATTGCAGTTGGGCGTTTAACACTATCGCGTGCAGCGCGTGAGCACCGCAGACTTTGACGTCCTGGGGCGAACAGTGCGGGTGAATGTGCGGTGACGCCTAAATGTGTATACTCGTTTCAGTTTTCTCACCTTAATTCTCATGCTACATCGTTTGTTTTGGTATCATTGTGTTCGCAATTAAATTCCCTGCAGGTGTATATGCATATAATGCCCAAAAGCCTGGCGAGACTCCCCGCAGCAAAGCCTAAAGTTACCCGTGAACGAGCACCAATTTGCACACCACAACCTAATGTGTATACTCGTTCAGTTTGATAACATCAATTTTCGTGTTACATTGCTCGTTTTGGTATCAAATTGTTCGCAATATAAAGGTGTGCATTTTAAAAAACTAGTCCCATAATAATAGAGCAATAACTGGAATTTTAACAAATATTTTAATTTTGGACGCTCATCATTACAATTATTTATATCTTTCCAATGTTCTGACATCAATTTTCGTGTTACGTCGCTCGTTTTGGTATCAAATTGTTTGCAATCTAAAGGCGCACATTTTAAAACTAGGCCCATAATAATAGTACAATAAATAGAATTTTAACAAATATTTTAAAATTTAAAATTTAGACCCAAAAACGTATTTATAATCTTTCAAGTGTTCTTACATCAAGTTTCGTGTTACATCTTTCATTTTGGTATCAAATTGTGTGCATTCTAAAGGCGCTTATTTTGAAACTATCCCGAGGTCGATCGGATAAAAAATGAATTTTATACAAATATTTTTGAAGTGGACGCGAGTCTTGTCCACTGCTAGGATTCACGAGAAAAAAAGTAGACGTGATCGGTGTCCAAAGCGAGCAATACTGTTAATAAATACTGGAACCCTCAGTCACAGATATTGTAAGTTAGGTACCATCACTAATTAGGCAGGCAGTGTGGTCAGGCAACTAGCCACAAGAGTGCTTGCTGGTGGGGTGCTAGCCAAGGGTAGTGGGATGAGGCTAGCCAAGGGCAGGGTGTTCATGCTACTAGCCAAGGACAACACAAGGAGGGGAGACTGGGGTGGCAGGAGTTACTGCCTTACATTGAGGACAAGAGAATTTATTTACTTTTATATTCCTTCCATTTGTCTATAAAGTCCAGAGTATTCCATTTGCAACTGAATGTTGTGGCCAAGATGTACTAAATCCAACATAGAAGAACACTGTTTTGTACTTTGTAGCGGTTTTAAAAATCTTCCCAAATTCAATACCTTGCAGAGAAAGGAAGAAAAATACTTACTGTAGGAAAGAAGTTTTTTTCTTGAATAAATGTATTTTTACCTACTTGATGATGATTATCAATAACTTGCATGATATTGTACAGTATATTTGTAGTGTCTTATAGTATTTGTCTTTTTCTCTTCCCATCGTAATGTATGTTACGGAGACTCGATGGAATTCAGTAGAAATTGGTTCTGTTGTTGTCATTAATGACCTGTGAGTTTCTTAACACTACTGTACATTGGATTAAATAATAACTACTTGGTCACTTAGCCTTCCACAGTTTCTCTCACCCAAACAAGGTATTCGAACAGCTTATCAAGTAGTGCAATAGAGTACAGTACTTTATAAATAACCCAAATTGGTATATGCTGGTTAAATAGTGTACACAGACCCGCTATTGGGATTTTGATTTAATCTAACTTCTAGTTTCAGTGTTAATGCAGGCGATGAGTCACAATAACGTGGCTAAAGTATGTTGACCAGACCACACACTAGAAGGTGAAGGGACGACGACGTTTCGGTCCGTCCTGGACCATTCTCAAGTCGATTGTGATGAGGAAGTAGAGACAGGCAATAAATAGGCAAGAGAGAGCTGAGGAGCAAAGTAAGGTGTAGTAGAGGGGATAGTAGTAATAATAAGAGCTGCAGAGGGCCTATTGGCCCATACGAGGCAGCTCCTATTATAACCACCGAATGAGAAGGAGATAGGAATAAGAAGAGGATAGCAAGGGAGCGTAGGAGAAGACAATGAACAGAAAAAGGGAGAAGAGAGTTAATCTGTTAATCTTTGTTAATAATTAGCCACTCCTAGGGTTAATAGGCTATTTTGTCATTGCTTGCATGCATCAGATTGGTTACTGGTTATCTGATTTCAGTTAATATTCTAGGAACACAATACTATATTCAGTCTTGTATAATGAAACTTTCTTAATGCAGTTCAGATAATACTCCTAATTTTGTTTTGTGGGGGAGATGGGATTTGTTTGTAGAAATATACATATTAATTTTGTTCTTAAATTTATTGTGTGTAGACTCTATGATTAATCAACTAGACTAAATGTCAGACATGATCACACAGGTGCCGGCCAGGATGTGGGGCGCAGTTGCATCTTGGTTACCATTGGTGGCAAGAACATTATGCTGGACTGTGGTATGCACATGGGGTACGTATCCACATTTAATTGCATAATTGACAACAAGGACTTGTTTATAATGCTTTAGAAACTCATTTGAAGTGTCATTTCTACCTTGCATAGTTATATTTAAGATGCAAACTAACAAATACTTTGTACAGCATAACTGTAACAACAGCAATGAAGAAATCCACAAGGGCCGTGACGAGGATTCGAACCTACGTCCGGGAGCATCCCAGACGCTGCCTTAATCGACTGAGCTACGACATGGTAAAAGAGTTGAAACCGAGGTTCTACTGAACTTACTGGATCCTGCAGCCTCTCCGAGACACAAACAAGGGTTTTACACAACTCCCCCATGCACTCGAGCTATGTCAATAGGCTGTTCTTCCTCTTCGCCCTTACTTCATTACACACAGAAATCACAATAGCGTGATGCATCAAATGAACAAATTTGACAACTAGGACTTGTTTATAATGCTTCATTTGATATTTGTTCATTTGATGCATCACGCTATTGTGATTTTTGTGTGTACAACAGCAATAACACCGAGAATGATTTAGTTCAGTCTTTGTTTATATAGGTACTATATTCTGTATGTTTTCTTTACATATATAGGTTTTCAACTTTTCTGCACAAGGTCAAACAGTCATTTCTTTAATCCTTGGGCTGCACATCTGTTTTTACCTGACAATACCAAAGTTCACAATAATTTTTGTTTAAAATGTTGTTTACTTTCTAATATTGTTAAAATGTTCCCTGATCATGGGGGGGGGGGGTGGAAATGTCACCAATTCATGCTCGCTCCTGCAGTGAGAGTCTCTGAGAAGTTGCATCGGTTATTAAGTCTAGCCAGCCTGCGGTCTATCCCCGTGCCCATGACGTTCGTAAGATATCTGCCCTTGTTGCCATCTTCGGTAACATGCCCTGGTCTGAAATTCGGGTATGGGGTTTTTGGCAGTCGAACAGGGTCCTGGCTGCACGCTACATCGTAAATGTTCCTGGGCCTAGTCGGGCCTGTGTCGCTTTGGGTCAGGAGTTGCAGCCTGTTGTCTCAACTTCGAGTTGAGGTGAGAACCGACTGCCTCCTGGGTAAGTCCCTCTAGTTTTTGTCTTTGGTGAAAACCAGCGTTGAAAGAACTGAAACGCCATTTTCTGGGTGAGTCCCGGAGGCTCCCCGGCAACCCTCCCTTCCTTCTTTCCGGTCGGCGTTTTTTTCGCGTGCTTTTGGTATCCTTTTGGTATTAGGGAGCCGGTCGGCCGAGCGGACAGCACACTGGACTTGTGATCCTGTGGTCCTGGGTTCGATCCCAGGCGCCGGCGAGAAACAATGGGCCGAGTTTCTTTCACCCTATGCCCCTGTTACCTAGCAGTAAAATAGGTACCTGGGTGTTAGTCAGCTGTCACGGGCTGCTTCCTGGGGGTGGAGGCCTGGTCGAGGACTGGGCCGCGGGGACACTAAAGCCCCGAAATCATCTCAAGATAACCTCAAGATATAGCCTCAGAACTGCAGGGTGAATCCCCGGCGCGAGGGTCTGGGGCTTCCCCTTCCTCCTCCTGGGAAGGAGGGAGTTGCACAGACATGTGGTGCGGCTTGTATGACGTCATGCTTGTTTGCTCGTTATCATTTGGGGAGTTCTGTCCACTCGTTTGTCTATTTTCGTTGTTTTTAACCGAAATAGGGGTTTGTTTTGAGGCGCTTTCCTTTCTGGGTGCCTGTCCCGGTCGATGGCAGATATAGAATGCTCCAAATCACATGTGCGTTTCTACGGACCATTGCTCCTCGTGCCTCTCTCAGCGGGCCAGGTTCTGGCCATGGTCCCCGGTAGACCTAGAACTCCACCCACGCTGACTGATGCCAAAGTTTAGGTATGTTCATATCGGCCTGAATAGGAGGCTGGGAGCCTCTGGGACTCACCCAGAAAATGGTGTTTCATTACATTCAACGCTAGTGTTTTGCCAATGTAAGTGATTTGGGCCTCCTAATTTACTTTTGAAGTGCCTTCTTAACAAAACCCAATGCTGTGTAAGATTGTGACAAGTTGGTGTTGATTAAAGGAGGCCAGGATAGAAAGGGAAAAATACATACAAAACTATGTATTGTAAAAAGATTATTAGACTATAATGGGGACAGTGCTGATAGATGATTGTGCATCAAGACTGTACTGTAGTTCCCTGAAAAAGTATTACTATACTGTACTCATATTTGTACTTACCATTATTTATAGGTACAATGATGATCGTCGGTTCCCAGATTTCTCCTACATCACAGAGGGTGCCTTGACTGATTACCTTGACTGTGTTATTATCAGTCACTTCCACTTGGACCACTGTGGAGCGTTGCCCTTTATGACAGAAATGGTTGGTTACAATGGTCCCATATATATGACACAGCCTACAAAAGCTCTTTGTCCTGTTCTTTTGGTATGTACACACTTTTCTTCAGATATTATTTTTCTTTAGATTGCAATTTTTCTTTTAAATAAAGAATCAGAATTTAATAGATAGCAATGTTAGTACTCTACTAGTATATGTTGATGTTCAAATAGGTAATAACTTGTGCTATTTACTGTCATGTTTATTTTCTGTTCACTGTCTTGAGATAATCTCATGGTATTGACTTGTAACTCCCCAACCCGTTCCCGCACTTGCTTACAGTCAATATTGGCTTATTTAATAAGTGCATATGTGACATACTAATTGATTGTGAATATTTTAGTTTACCTTGATAAGCTTCATAGAAAACACCGACCTCACCTAACCTTCTTAGTATGTTAAGATAAGCATATTATTGCTTTATATTTACAATTATTACTTAACCTATCAATGGTATAGGTTAAGTAATAATTGTAATTAAGAAGCAATAAGATGCTTATCTTAACATACTAAGATGGTTAGGTGAGGTCGGTGTTTTCTATGAAGCTTTTCAAGGTAAACTAAAATCAATTAGTATGTCACATATGCACTTATTAAATAAGCCAATATTGACTGTAAGCAAGTGCGAGAATGGGTTGAACTCCCAACACTTGTGTGTGGTTTCTGTCATTATTAGGCAGTGTAGCTCGGCTGCAACTTACTGTGATTCATCCACACATAGTTTGAACACACTTAGATGGTGATGAATATTATATATGCATTATTTCTGCCAACAGGAAGACATGAGAAAGGTTGCTGTCGAGAGGAAGGGCGAGACAAACTTCTTCACGTCTGGTATGATAAAAGACTGCATGAAGAAAGTCATCACAGTTTCTCTGCACGAGACAATGCAGGTAATATTAAATTGTATGGACAGCATGTACTTGTATTTATAGTTTATGGAGCATACAGTGTTGGATAGAAAGTCTAAATACAGTCTTGGAGAGAAAGTCTTCAGCACTCCTGGGGTAGAGCAGGAATATTGATAGATTTCAGAACACGATAGATATATCAGAAGAATTAATATGGGCTTTATGTGTAACTACTGTATTAAGTTTTTCATTTAATACAATTAACAAAAATTCTTCTTTCATTATAAAATGTACTCTGTAAACTAAGATGTTTTATCAAAATTCAACAGTAATGTAAAGGCTAGGTCTATGACCCACCCATAAATTGAAACTGTGTAAACAGTTGGCATGGCATGGGTGGGGAGATGGGGAGGCATGGGCTATGTAGTGCAGTGGTCAGTGCAGTCAGCTCACAATCAAATGGTACTGAGCTCGATTCCAATGGCAGGACAGAAATGTTTGGGCACTCCAGGGGTCACCAATGTAACGTATACAATTTTGGCCAATAACATTCAAAGAGTATAGCAGTTTTTTATGTTTATTTAATATAGTCTTGGTTACGGCAGTCAGATGTTAGAAATGAAAGATGTGCCGTGATAGCTGAAATGAGGATGCTTGTGCGAGGCCTGGAGCCGAGAGCAGAGAGCTTGAGCAGGGCTGGGGGGTAGAGAGCTCGAAGGAGGATAAGAGCAAAGAGTTGAATGCAGGCAAGTTCAGAGAGCTTGAATGTAGGGCAAGAATGGGTAGCTTAAGTGTGGCTGGAATCTGGCTGTCTGCTCTGTGGTGAGGCTGTTGCATCTTTTAAGAGAGAGTTGGAACTAAACTCGTTGAGTGTTACAGTATTGCTGGGAGTAGATCCACAGTAATTACCTAAGTGTAGTTACAGGATGAGAGCTACACTTGTGGTGTCCCATCTACCCAGCACTCTTTGTCATATAAGGCTTTGAAACTACTGATGGTCTTGGCCTCCACCACCTCCTCACTTAACTTGTTCCAACTGTCTACCACTCTGTTTGCGAAAGTGAATTTTTGTATATTTCTTCGGCATCTTTGTTTAGTTAGTTGAAATCGATGACCTCTTTCTTGAAGTTCCAGGTCTCAGATTTAAACTCTGCCCATTTGTTTCCGTCACCGTCGGGAAAAGAACCCAGAACCTTACGACAACGAATCCCAAGCGCTGTCCTCTCAGCCGACAGTACCATATATCCAGAGCATTTGTCACTAAACCACTATTGAAGTTTGACCACTGATTCTAGATTGATTGATTGATTGATTAAGATGAAGCCAACCAGGAAGTGGCACGGGCACGAATAACCTGTAATGCTGATTCTAAGTTCGTGACAGCTTATATTACACGCTTCACGTGACCTTGTGTTGGCTTCTGGGAAGTTGATCATCCTTCTGGGATGCTGGTTATTTTTGACTGTCCTAAATGAATTCTAGAAACTTTGGGAAAAACTATAAATTAAAATTAGGATTATTGGAGAGTGTTTATTGTAGAACATCTTGGAATGTGGAATTCTTAAGGATCAGTTATGTGGAATTAACAAGAACATTTGATTGTTAGCAGTGGAACGTCTGAACTTTGGAACAACTATATTACTTTTAATATAGTTGCCGCACATCCTGTGAAAGGTGAGTAGTTAGGTCAGCCTAGGAAGACCTCAACAGGCCTGACACGCTTTATGTCCCTGACAGTGGGAAAGCAATAGAGCAAGGCATCTCTTGAATCATGGCAGATGTTTTATGATGCAAGAGTTTGTATTACATCATAAATTCAAACAAAGGTCAATTTTTTTTAGTTAAGATACAGTATAATAAAATTAACTTGGAAGAGGGTAATGTTAATAATACAAAATACACTTTCACAGATGAAATATCATAAAAAAATTTGCAAATTTTCTAATTTGTTTGCAAAGATGATGGAGTGGCCGCATGTAGCTGCCAAATATTTTCCATAGAGAACCAGGTATTAATTCATTTTGTTTATTTTTAACAGGTTGACAGTGAGTTGGAGATCAAAGCGTATTATGCCGGACATGTTCTTGGAGCTGCCATGTTCCACATTAAAGTGGGCTCACAGAGTCTTGTGTATACAGTGAGTAGCAGCTTGCCACAAGTAAACGTGGCTGAAGCAATATTTTGTATAGACTGTAGCTCCAGATTAGGTTGGATCACTATTGTCAGTGCATTAACATTCATATTCCAGTGACACAATATATGAAATTTTCACTAAACCTAAATTTTGAGTACTTGTATGTCTCAGACTGATGAAATAACATGCTCGAGGGGAGGTTATTTTGGAGCTTAGTGAATCTTGGAAGTAACCTACAAGATCCCTCATAATCATTGTCATCAGCATTTTCTCACAGGTGTGTATAATGATTTTAGCTGCAAATTCGTAGTGTGTATAATCTCAAAGCTCTCAAAATTTACTCTCTAGAAAGGAGCTAAGAGGGGGTATCACATTAGTGATTTTTGTAAGAAATAGTGTATTAGTGATTTTTGTAAGAAATAGTGTAGTAACACTATTTCTTACAAAGTACAAAATAGTGTAAGTAACACTGTAGTAACACAGTAACACTCATTCATTCTCAGGGACAGCCCCTTGAACCCACCAGGGAAGGTAACCCTGTCAGGGCAGGTGTAACACCTGTGACCCCATAGGAATATTAACCCTAAACACATTCAGCTCAAGGTCAACATTGGCAGAGTCCATCCAAAAACAAGACAAGTAAACACACGGACACGAAGCAACAATACTAAATACAAAACAATACACAAGGAAATGGCCTCTGCAGGACAAACGGAATACCAGCACTTACCTGAAACACCGGGACCCAAAGGGCAGGGTGACCGGTGGATAACTACACATTGTAGTACCAAGTGAAACACCGGGACCCAAAGGGCAGGGTGACCGGTGGATAACTACACATTGTAGTACCAAATAAATAACTGAAGTGGATTACTTTCAGAGCCACCAGCTCAGGGTGCTGCCACCTGTATACTTGGAGTATACCTGGAATATACCTGTAGTATACCTGGAGTGGGTTCTGGGAGTTCTGTTCCTGATGCCTAAGCTTGGGGCCAGGCTTGACTTGTGATAACTTAATCCAACAGGCTGTTGCTTGGAGTAGCCCACAGGCTCACAAATCCACTATGAACTGGTTAATCTTGTACTTACTGAAGAAGCATTTCTAATTTTCAACACTTCTACATCCGTACCGGCAATATTTCTTATATTTGCTGGGAGTATATTAAATACCCATGGACCTCTGTTCATACATTGTTCTCTAATTGTACCTATGGCACCTCTAATCCTCACCGGGTCTACTGCATTTCCTACCATATCTTTCGTTTCAGTATGTTATTTTACTGTGCAAATTTGGGACCTAGTCTTTCAGTATTTTCTTCCATCTATTGATACAGAATATATTTTTCTGCTTTGTTTCTATATATTTTTTATTTTTTCTTTGGTTTCTGTTTACCAAACATTCATTCATTCATTTATGTGCACCTTCAATAAAATGCAGCTTGTTTATCTCTCCCAAATTACAAAAATACTCTGGAACTACCCAGCCATCAACCCCACCTGGCTGTGGAGGTAGAGAGGGGGGAGGAGACTCTTGGAATATGACAAAGAAGTGTGTGATGAGCTCAGCAAGAGGTTCCAGGAGGTCTACAAACTAGAACCAGATTGGTGTCCAAGGAGGGGTGACAACAGATTACTAGAAACAACACTAAACAGAATTGAAGTTTATGTAGAAGAGGTAAACAAAAATACATGGAGGAACTGGATGTAGCAAAAACAGTAGGACTAGACCAGATGTTAAATATGGAAGCTGCAGGGATCTTGTGTTACCCATTAACTATAGTGTTTAACATTACACCAGAGAAAAGAGAGCTACTGGAAATCTGGAAATAGTCATATGTGGTTCCAATATTCAAGAAAGTGAACAGACATGAATCACTGATTTATAGAAAATTGTAATTATCATGCATTCTATGCAAGATGCCCCCACAGAAATTATTGTAGAACATTGGGGGGAGTAAATTTTATAGCAGATACACAGTATGACTTCTGAAGGAAAATCATGCTTAACAAACTTGACTGAATTCTATGACAGGGTCACCATAATAAGACAAGACAAGGAAGGATGGGTAGATTACATCATCCTAGACTGCCAAAAAACTTTTGATACAGTTCCTCACAAAAGACTAATACACAAGATGGAGAGACAAGCTGGGGGTAACAGGAAAGACACTAAACTGGGTATGGGAATACTTGATGGATAGGAAACAAAGGGTCATAATCAGAGAGGATGTGTCATGCTGGAGAGGAGTCGAAAGTGTTGTTCCACAGGGCTCTGTCATAGGACCATTGCTGTTTTTATTTTTTGTAAATGACCTCGCAGAGGGAGTGAGCTCATACATGTTGATGTTTGCAGTTGATGGAAAGTTAATAAGGAGAGTAAGAACTGAAAAGGGCTGTAAGGTACTACAAGAAGACCCCGACAAACTTCAGGAGTGGACAGATAATTGGCTTCTGGAATTCAATCCAAATAAGTGTAAAGTAATGAAAATAGGATAGGGAGGTAGGAGACCTGTATTCATCTATACCATGAGAGAAAGACAATTACATAAAGAAAAAAAGAAGACCTAGGAGTAAACATAATCCTAACATTAGCACCAGAAGCTCATGTGAACAGGATAACATCAGCAGCATATGGGAGGTTAGCAAACATAAGAATATCATTTAAGGATCTAAATAAATAGGCTTTAAAGTCCAATTATGCTACTATGTGAGACCATTACTTGAGTATACAGCACCAGAATGGAAGCCATACCTTGAAACAGAAATTAGATAGTTGAGAAGTGTCCAACTAGATTATAGTAATTCCAGAATTGAGAGTCCTCAGTTATGAAAACAAAGTTGAGTGAAGTTACCCCCAACAACCTTAAAGGAGAGAAGAAACAGTGGGGATATGATAACTACATCATGATTTTTGGGGAGTAGATAAAGAGGACAGTGTAAGCCTATATGAAAAGAGGTAAGGTAATGAGACATGAGTGGAACCTGGACATGTGATTGAGTCACAGAGATCTATGGAAATTATTGTTCCTTGTACTGGTGGTTGGCAAGTGTTATGTAATGAAGAGGATGTTAAAGTCAGTTCCATCCAGAACTTTAAATATGATGAAAATATTAATGTTAATAGAGGTAATTAGTACTTCAGATATAAGTGGATAGTAGGCAGCGTATAAAGAGCTATATCTTACCCTCCAATAGTTACTGATAGATAAGCACTGATAGGTCTCTTATTGTTGTTTTCCAGCATATATGACTGCAACAGCTTAGGTCGACTCTTTGCTTCTGCAGAATTGTCATTTTCAAATGGCTGCTCAATGCCCTCATGATATACTTATTTCTGGCTCACATTTGTGGCTCCCTATTTGCCTCTGTACCCATGTCACTATCATTTTTCCATGCTGTTTTTGTCTTCTCCTTTTCCACCTTGCACACGCTCTGCGTGTCTGGACACTGATGGACTGGTTCATCTCGTTCTAGGTTAGTGTACACCAGATGTAGCTAATGTCATCTTGAATTTATAATTATATTTGTGGTTCCATGGGATTCTGGTGTAGGACATGTGTACTATGAGTCTTGTACACTGGGATATGTGGATATCATCTGTGTCAGGTTTCCTTGACCCATTTTGTTTAGGGAATCATTGTGTTGTTCATTGACTAATTTATCAAGTAATAAATCAAATGTTGGATGAAAATACTTTTGATAAAAGTTAATAAGCCCCTTATTACATTAGCATGGATAAACATAATATAATTTTGTAATAGCTTTTGTGTTTAAAACTTGTTTAATATTATTTAATTAAGTACTGTACAGGTTATATATTTTCCAGGGTGATTACAACATGACTCCAGATAGGCACCTTGGCGCTGCGTGGATTGACAAGTGTCGTCCAGATCTTCTAATTTCTGAATCCACGTATGCCACAACAATTCGAGACTCAAAACGGTGCAGGTAGTAACTAAATAAATTTGTTTCTGAGAGATATATTAAAACTGAGCAACTTATGATGTCCTAGAATTATTTCCATGGAAATAATTCTAGGACAGGGTCCTAGAATTTGTTGTTTGGAACCTCCATACAACAAACCCTCCATTCAGTAAATCTCTGGGTGGAGAACACACTTTCCATGCCAAATTTACTCATCCGATTCAACGAACAAGAGTTCACTGAAGTTTGTGATTTACTTAGGATGTAGGGACCGAGTTCACAGGTCTGCATTACAAGTTATAGTTGGGCTTGGGAAAGCCACTGAGTATATTTAAAATCAAATTCTCTGCTTCTTTTTAATTTCCAGTTGCAGAGGATTTTGTTCAGTAAAATATGGGGCCATTTTCTTTCAAAAGGAGATTTTTGAGGCATGGTCATGGGAAACTTGCTAGATGTGGCTAAATCTCTTTACAGACAGGTTCTCTTGGTTGTTGCTCTTCATATGACAGGTTGAAATTATTGTTTTGCTCCGTGAAATCAGCCCATAGAGCATGGGAAGTTTGGGCCATGAATGGTAACTCTCATAATATAGCTCCAATCATGCTTTTGATTATTTTTGTTAGGGCAGTAGCTCAATAGTTAGCATAGAAGGACATAAAATCTCATCACTTTTTTGGACTGGGAACAAGTGCAGAGATGCATTTTACTGATTGCAATTGTTATATATTTTAGTGTTTGCTTCATGATTCATGTTTGTTTATGCCTCACTTCTTGTCGTCCCCCTGTGGAGGGAGCCTGACCCTTAGCAGTGCAAGGGTTTTTGACTCCTCTACAAGGCTTTGAAGATGGGGGCAGTGTTGGGTTTTTCTACCCTGGGGTAGCACATGGCACTTGTATGTGCTTTACTGGTGAATTTGCCCCCTCGGTTGTTTTTGGCAACTGTTGGTGAGCTCCTGTGCCCTCTGCTTCCTTCTTGGGGTCACTCTTCAGGACCTGGAAAGCTTCCCTACCACCCCACTCCCCATCATAGTTCTCAGAGGGCCTGCTTAGTCAGCCCTCCAATTTTGCACTCCCTGTGGCATGAGTTTGTAGAATGGCCATCAGTCTTGTTATGTTTTGATGACTGTCCATTACTACCTTCACTATGCTGCCTGTTGGGGTGGATTAGCCCTTTCACCGTGCGACCTGCAATGTTCATCGTTGTGGCATCTGTTACTGAATCAGCTCCCTCCCTGGGGGGTGGGGAGTCTGTCCTGGGGAAAGGATTTCCATATTCGTGCTCACCTCCTTTGTTCCTTCCCCCTCTCTCACTTTCCTTACTCTCCTGCCTATCATGGTGTGAATTTGTTGCTTTGGTCTTCTTGGCAGGATTTGCCCTTGCTGACTTTGCTTTTTCCGGTGCAAGAAGTTGTCAGGCAGTGACCACTGGGCGGCTGCTTTGTTGTTGAGTTCATTCGACATGTGATGCTGTGGGGTCAGCCATTTTGTGAGTTTTGGTGTCAGGTTAGCAATTGTGGTACTTCCCAGCTAACTGTTTTCTTTTCTTCTCATTTCTGGGGCCTGACAGCTGAGTGGGCAGTGCTCGGGATTCATAGTCCTAAGATTCCAAGTTTGATCCCAGCGGAGGCGGAACAAATGGGCAGAGTTTATTTCACCCTAATGCTCCTGTTCACCTAGCAATAAATAAGTACCTGGGAATTAGACAGCTGCTACGGGCTGCTTCCTGGGGAATGTGTAACAAAAAGGAGGCCTGGTCGAGGACTGGACCGCGGGGACGCTAAGCTCCGAAATCATCTCAAGATAGCCTCAAAATAACTCTTCTTGTCGGCCAGACTCTTTGGGTAGCTTTTCTTGTGGATTCTTAGGTTTTGATTCCCCATGCTGTTAATATTTGGGGCATGTCCAACGTTCTAGTGGAAGAGGTCTCATTTTCACCCCATTACCATAGTGGACCGTTGACAATGTGTCCTGCTGTTGGCTTTGTGAGGAGTTGGGTTACCCCAAAATGGATTGGCAGTTTCCAGTTTATGTGATCCTGTTTCCCATCTGTGAGGCGCTCATGGTACATGCTCTTTGGCTAGACTACTATAAATCTCTACTAATCATGACTCCCACATCATTTTTGTATTTAAATTTGACAATTTCAGTATTGTCAGGCTGATATCTGGTAACTATTTTCATTTACTAAGCTTAGAACCCTGCATGTGTTAACACTGAAATTCATCTTCCAATCTTTCATCCAATTTAGAAAGCTATCTGAGCCATCTTGTTGCAATTCTGAGTCTTCTGTATTTATCTCCTGCTCAATTTGTTTCATAAGCAAATTGACCAATGCTGCTCTTCAATTTGGTGTCTTAATAATATATATACATATGGTAAACAACTGAGATCCCAGAACAGAGCCCCGGGGCACTCCACTTGCTCAATTTTTTGGCAATAGTTTCCAAGTGTGACTTAACTCCATTTGTTCTTGCCCTCTATTTTATTTGAAGTGTTGCAGTCTTTTTGACTATCGCCTGCTTAAAAAATTAAAAAATGCTGGAAAATAATAAAATTGTTAGGGAGAGCTGGTGACATATTGAGGATAAATTATGAACTGTTGCAAAAGATGACTTCCAGTATTTGTATGTATACAAGTATGTAAGTACTGTATGCCCTTACTTTTCTTCTGCAGAGAGCGGGACTTTCTTAAGAAAATCCACGACTGTGTAGACAGGGGAGGCAAGGTGCTCATTCCAGTGTTTGCTCTTGGCCGTGTCCAGGAGCTGTGCATCCTCCTTGACACCTACTGGGACCGAATGAATCTCAAAGTGCCCATATATTTCACTATGGGTCTTGCAGAAACGGTGAGCATTATTTTGCCTCCAATAAATGCATTTTAATTCTATTGGGTGAAAAATAGTTCTTTGAAGAAACTATTGTTATTCTATATACAGATGTATTGCTGTATTGTATATGCAATATATTAAAAGAATGCTTAGGCTTGAGTATGTATAAGTAGTGGGTATGAACATATTCAGTCTTTAAACCACTTTTTCTGTGGTGAGCCCCGTCGGCTCCCTTATGCTTCAGGGAGCCTCCGGGGTTCACCCAGAAATGGTATTTCATTATATTCGGTGTTGGTTTTCTGGCATACATGACTGTAATGTATGGGGTGTGGAGTCTAATGTGTGGCAGGGTTAGCCCGTTTGGATGGTGTCGGAGGTAGGATCCCATATGTGTTGGAGAGTGTTGTGCACAGGTAGGCATGACTATACTACACTGACACCACAGCAAGCTTTTCAAACTGTTCCTGAATGGTATCATTAAGATGCTAGGGAGTCACTGGGAAATGATTGATCTGGCAGGAGGCTGTGGGGGATCTGACAGGAGACTGAGGAAGATCTTGTATGAGGCTTAGGAAGATAATACATGAGGGTAAGGAAGATCCTGCATTAGACTTGGTAGGATCCTGTAAGAAGTGAGGGGGGTGCTCTTAAAATCTTGAAGCATATCGGTAGGTGTGGACTAATTGCACTTAATATTTTCAGGCAAATAAGTACTACCGAATGTTCATCACGTGGACAAATCAGAAAATCAGACAAACTTTTGTACATCGTAATATGTTTGACTTTAAGCACATAAAACCATTTGACAAGTCGTACATGGAGAATCCCGGACCTATGGTGGTGTTTGCTACCCCAGGCATGCTGCACGCCGGACTCTCCCTAGCAGTATTTAAAAAATGGGCCCCCAATTCAAACAATATGGTGAGTTTGATCTTTATTTATATATATTTCATAATAATACCCTCCTGTTCTTGTTGCTATATTGGCAACATTTTCAATGTTAATCAGATAAAAAGTAATTGAATAGAGGTGAGGCCTCTGTCTGTAGTGGCGTAGTCGAGCCAAGTAACCTACGGCTTGTAAAGGGTTCCCTGTCTGGTCAAGTGAATTTGTCCAGGTGTATTTATACAGTTGACTGTTGTGTTGCAGAATATATCTGTAAATATGATGCTTCTGATGAATTTATTAGGATGATGAAGGCTTATAAATGTATTATATTTACCTAATACAACTGCTACAAATAACTCTGGACATACATAACTTTAAAGATAAACAGTTCGTATGAAAATTGTTATAACAAATTAATGAATTAAGTGTGTAATAATGTGGCTCTTGCTATTATCAGATTTTGTTTATGTGGTTAGCAACACCACATATTATTACTTTTTGTTTTCTTCAGAATTTTCATTCTAAATATTTTATTTTAATTTAGTATTTTGTGGTTTAATAAGTAATGGTAATGTCCTTTCACAGGCATAATAACATAGGATGTAAACCCACACTTGTGTATTTGTCAAATTTATGTAAAGAATTTACACCAAGTCTTTTGCACTCTCCTGAGTGCTTTGTCAAGGTCTGAGTGTGTGATTAGGATGAGACTTACATCTCAACGTCTAAGCAAAGTGCTCAACATCGAAAGGCAAAGAGCTCAACTTCATTAGATGTTGAGATGTAAGCTTCGTCTTAACCACACACTCAGACCTTGGGTATAAATGGGTAGGAGTTAGGGCTTAAATAGCTAGATCTTACTTCCCCTGACCCTAATAGATAGTCACTGATAGGTAGGCACCCCATGCCCCCCACTTAAAATAACACCTAAACACTAACTCACTCACTCTAAATAAAACTGCTGTCAAAAGATAGAAGATGTGCTTTAGCATTATAAGTCTCCTAGTCTCCTTTCTTGTTATGTCTGCCTTCATGGTTATTAAAGTCAAAGTTCATCGCCAAAATGCCAACTTCATCACCAAGCACGAGATATTTCCACTCATCTCACTTTTTACATACCAATGCACTTTCTTGTTTCTATTTATTAATAATTTATTTTATTCAAAATATTATTAGTTCTGTCTTGAAATAAGACAGAAATACTTTCAGAAATACATACAGATATTCAGATCTGTCCCCACTTTCCCATAAGTTCTAAGTCTTAGCATTCATGAATCTCAAGCGCCTTGTATATACAGTTGTGGAAATGTAATCATTAAATATATATGCTTATATGTTATGTATGTGTGTGTTACAGGTGATCATGCCGGGGTACTGTGTGCAGGGTACAGTGGGTCACAAGATCCTAAATGGTGCCAAGAAGGTGGATTTTGAAAACAGAACGAGTGTCGATGTCAATTTGTCTGTTGAAGTGAGTATTGTACAGTATTTATACCCCTCCCCCCCCCTTCCCCACCAAAAAAAAGAATTGTATGAATTGTGAAGATACAGGCAGCCCAAAATTTGGGTGATATTGGAGAAAGCAGATTTTGTGGTAAGAGGGTTAGCACTTTTATATTATTGTGTCTCAATCACCTCATGATTGTAGACTTGAGGTGATGGGGAATGTGTGCTTATTAGTGTGGATGTCGAGTGGTAATGTTTTGGTCTGGCACGGTGTCGGCAGTGTTGTCCTGGAGCCGTGCTCCACTCTTGTTCTCAAAAGTTTTCAAATATTTTCAAACAGCATAGAACATCCCACTCATTTTGGACTTGATTGTGTGATGTGTTTGGTGTTGAAAATTGAAGGGATCATTAATTATGTAAATTGAAATAGGTGTTTATTAAGCAGTGTGGAATAAGTTGACTTTTGGAAATGTGCAGAACATAACCATTTTGTCCATATATATATATATTAGTATATTAAAGTTTGATTAGTGGAGCTTTTGATTTACAGTTTTTGCAGGAACACAATACACAAATTAAGGGCAGATTGTAAAGTTCTTATATAGTTTGATTCATTTAAACAAGGTGAATGTAAGCAGTACAAAATTTTGGGAGGGAGCCCCCTTGTTTCCCTATATACAGTACACAAATATATTGTGTATTTTGTCATTTTATTTGATTTAAAACTTCATTACACAAAATAGGTTACAACATTGGTTACATGCAAGGTACAAGATTGTCACAGGTTGTTGAGTTCTTCCAGCTCCTCAGATGGCAGGCAGGAACCATGGATGGGGTGTGCATTTCCTGTCTGTATCACTACATTAAGGGATTGAAAGAAGAAGCTGGCAGCTCTAAAAGTCTCTTGTTTCAATTAGCTTAGAACCCAGCTCTTTGAAAAACTAGTGGTACTTTTACTACAGGCACCAAGTGTCTCCAAGGCAATGTGGACAAAATTGTAGTGGTGGTCCAGATCTTTATTTTTGAAAATTGGCTGCTTTCCCGTGAGTGGCAGCACCACCTGAATGTGCAGCACTGAAGTAATGTAGGTGTTGGCTAAAGTTGAAATGCAGATGTAATGTCACACCAACTATCTGCCACTCTTCCAGGGGTGCATTGTGATGCTGATTAGGTGACCAACAGTGTCAGAGTTGCAGGCATTAGGTAACGTGTTTCTCTCTTTGCTGGACAACCAGCTGCGGTAAGGCTCCTCTTAATGTCATTAATCTCGATATGTCATGCATGCCAAGCACATCCCTCCTGGCCTTTGGCAGAGCAGGCCATGCCAGCTGGACCTGCCGGCCACTGCCTCACTGCAAATACACCTATATTCGGTGTGGTTTGGGGCACTAAGGTCATTCTGGGCGATGCCGACATTTCGTCGACATAGTGCTAGTACTGTCTGACAGCTCTGTTTGAGCCATCAGACCGTACACTGGCACCAGTTTAACTCCTCAGGTTGTAAGAAATATAGAAAATATGGCAGACCACAAAAATCAATTATAAGCCAAGACTATTAATAATGACAAAAAAGGCCCATTCTTTCCTCTTATGGTGTTTTAGACTTTGTGGACCACAATGCATTCAAAGGGAAAAATGAGCTGTGTAAATAAAATATAACTGGTCAGTATTTAAGAAGTTGTGCAGCAGCCAGCTTGGCCTCGATCTCTGCTAGTCCAACTTGCTTGTTGGGCAACACAAACACCATACTCGGCCTTGATGGTTATCTTGAGATGATTTCGGGGCTTTAGTGTTCCCGCGGCCCGGTCCTCGACCAGGCCTCCACCCCCAGGAAGCACCCCGTGACAGCTGACTAACACCCAGGTACCTATTTACTGCTAGGTAACAGGGGCATCAGGATGAAAGAAACTCTGCCCATCGTTTCTCGCCGGCACCGGGATCGAACCACAAGATCACGCGTCCAGTGTTCTGTCCGCTCAGCCACCAGCTCCCTGCAAATACAGTACACAATTTACAGCAGTAGAAAATTGCATTAGTTGTAAGGTTCATTAGTGAAAGTTTACACCTTAAACTGTTTTTTTGGATATTAATTTAATTAAACTTAGCAATATCTTGAAATTAGTTGCTATATATATAGTGAATAACTATTTAATTGAAGCATTACTTTATAGTTGGTTTGTACAGGGAATAGCCGTTTGATGAGAGCATTACTTTAACAGTGAAAGATTTGTATACTGTTCTAGTTAATTATTCTGATGAACTTTCTGTAGGACAATTGCTAAAGCAGTTTATGTTTCAACAGTATATGTCATTCAGTGCCCATGCTGATGCAAAAGGTATCATGCAGTTAATTCGACACTGTGAGCCGAAGAATGTGATGCTGGTTCATGGTGAGAACGCCAAGATGGATTTCTTAAGACAGAAGATCATGCAGGTAAGAATACTTCTTTGCCTTATTGTTTTCCCCTGTTTATTATCACACATGAAGACACTGAAGTGAACTGTTTTGGGGAACTTTTGTGACCTTTGTCAAGCAGCAGCAGTGGCCAGTCAGTCGGCCTGTTTGTGTCTCATTTCCACTACTGCAGTGTGTGTGTGTGTGTGTGTGTGGTTGATGCAGTGTATCTTGCTTTGAGTTAGTTGTAATTTCTTGATTTCCTCCAATATTCTTCTAGCATTTGTATAAGCTTGGAAACCTATGAGGCCCTGATCCTTCCCCTTTTCACTCACTCTAAAATTGTGTTCATGTTAGGTCTTGACTTAGGAATTATGTGAGAAGGTTTGGGTCTTTATTTCTTAAGATGCTGGCACCTGGTGATGAGGGGTGTATGTGTTCCTTGAGATGCTGGCACTTGGTGAGGGGTGTATGTGTTTCTTGAGATGCTGGCACCTGGTGGTGAAAGGTGTATGCGTTCCTTGAGATGCTGGCACTTGGTGGTGAGGTCTGGATACCTGTATGTATCCAGACAGAGATGCAAACTTATCAAGAAACCCCTGCTGTTGATCACTTGTGATATTAAGAGAGGACCTGGTATTGGCTCTAAGCATTTATGAACGCCCCTTGTCCTCGTGCTAGGCTGGGCCGAGTGATCTCGAGTGACATCATGCCCTATATGTGTGACTTTTCTCATTCTCCACAGGTATTTGTCATTTCATAATACTGTATGATAAATATTCTTGGCTATGAAACCTGGCATTGTAATGGCTTTTGCTCATGCTTAGATTTTCAAAGTTTCTAGCTTTAGCCCTGTCTGAATATTGTTTATTAAGATAATGAAGATAATGGGGCCAAAAGCCAGTCCTGAAGTATGACTCCAGTTGTGCTTAGCCATCCAGATGCTCCTTTGATGAAGTGCTAAAGAATCCAGCTATTGTCTTCAGACATTTCTCTAGTGGTTTGCACATGTTTATTCAAGTATTTACAGTTGTGTTAACTTTTGCAGGCACTCATGTTTTACAACAAACACATTTATTTCATTTTAGCAATGAGAATAGTGTTAGAAAATTTACTTTTTAATTACTACTAATTGGCACTGATTTTGATATAGAAGCATTGTTATTTGATTGTAATGCACACTGTAATTATTTGTACTTGTGGGTAGGAATTCAACATCAACTGCTACAAGCCTGGAAATGGAGAGACATCAATTATACCAGTTTCAAGTAATCTTGACGTAGAGGTGTCACTTCCTCTACTGAAGCACACCATATCTGCTGTCTCACAGCCAGCCCTTGCTGCACCAACCTCTTCAAAGTCCAGTACTAATGAAGAAGCACAGCCAAAAAAACAGAAGGTCTATGAATCAAAGAAACAGAAAGTTCTTCATGGAGTTCTCATCATGAAAAATAATGTAAGTTACACAGAGAAATCACTCTGGTGTATATCAATGAGAAACTCAACTGGAGCTCTGAGGTGACTTGAATCCTCACCCGAGAGAATCCCAGCCACTGACACTAACCGCTGGACCACCCAAGTCAAGGTGGTCCAGTGGTTAGCATCAGTGGCTGGGAGTGTCTCGGTTGTGGGTTCGGGTCACCTCAGAGCTCCTGTTGATTTTCTCAATAATGTTAGTCTTCTAAATATAAATTTGTGACAAATTTTATACTGTTGTCTACAGTACAGATTTTACTGGTGATATATGCAGTACAAAATTGTATAGTGATATTTGCAATAACAAAATTCCTTTAGTAGTATCTGCAGTACTAGATTTTATATTTATGTGTAGTAAGTGGAATGACGCTCATATGGAACAGCTTGTTTCAGACCTCTCGACTACAAATGAACTCTTAATTGCATCTGGTGTGTTATCTTTTGCTATGGTGGCTGCTTGTGCTAGTTGTCTAGATAACGCCATTCAATTGAATACACACTAAGTCCTTGAGTCATTGTAAGTCTACCAGGAATCAGAGGCCAAAACCTGGTCTCCTCTACAGAGCATAAGGAGCAGGGAATACTAGATTATACTGACCAAGAAAAGGCCCCAGAAAGGTGGACAAGCTAAAACGTACAATCAGCATGGTAAATAAAGCTTTAAAAGAAAAAAAAAGAGACAAAGAACTTCTGAAACTGCCCAGTGATGAAGCAGTTCACTTGTTACTTCATCTGCACACCACCAGGGAACTGTGCACCTTCCTTCTCAATCCCCAAGCTTTGACATATCAATTACAGTTTTTTGCTCTGCACGATGCTTTCATCTTGGACTGATATTCGGGAGCAAAGATTTTGGAGGTCGAGCTGGGTCCTGGCAGTCAGGTATCTTGTGGACGTTCCCGGTCCTCCTTCCCCCTAACGAGGAGAGAGTTCAACTAGCTCATGCAAGTTTCACAAATATTTTATTGTTTGTTTACATTGTTAGGGGAGTTCTTTTGTCTGTTTTGAGGCTGAGGTCTCATTTCTAACCGAGCCGTGATATGTTTTGTTTCGCTGACTGTCTGGGCGCCTTCCCTGTTGGTGGCAGATATGAATAAATTTACATTAAATTTTTCATAATGCCACTGCTCCCTGCACCTCTCTAGCTCATGGTCCCCAGTAGGCCAAATAGAACTCTGCAACTGATGGCACCTTGTAGTCTGGCACTAAATCAGATACAGTTTAGTAGCTTCAGGGTGCCACTGGGGGTTCACCAAGAGATTGGCATTTCATTACATTCCTTTCTGGTTTTTCATCTTTCATAGTTTGTTTTCTGTTTCAGTGGGCCTGTCCTTTTTGTCTAGGTTGTTTGATGATCGGTATCTTACACTGAATAATGTCGCACATTAACATTCAGCCGTGACGGAGCAACTTTTGCTGGCTTTCATCATCAATACTACAGTACTGTGGCACCATTTCTTCTTAAGTTATTAATTTTTTCACTGCCAACCACCTCATTCTTTTCTTGAGCTGTTATGGTCTCATGATTCAGTGTTGGTTTTCTTTCAACTCCTTGGTGCCTGGTTGCCCCATCCATCTGTGACTCCTTGTTTAGGGGTGGGGGAGGAGGCAAATGGTGTTCCCTGTTGCTAACAACATCATGATAGCTCCACACCTGTAAGTCATATTAGCCCTTGTGAGTCTTTTAATAACCTACTGGAGACAAGAATCCAAAATCTGGTTCCCTTCACAGAGGTGCAGAGAGCAGGGGATTCATGATCATCTTCTCCAAAGAAAGAAACTCCCAGAAGGAAGCGAGACAATATTAACAACTGCAAGGTTCTCAGAAAGTATAGAAGCAATTCACCAAACAACTTGGAAAAATTATCCACCCAGTAGTTAAGTTAAATCTTTCACCCCCCCCCCCTTGAACTTCATCTTGAGCTGTATGCGCTTCCGGCTATTCCAACTGGCAACTTAAAGAAGGACAGTATCGCTAGCACAGCTTCATGTCGGACACCACCCTGGATTTCATAGCGTGTTGCACTAAGTTTGGTCCACTTAACAAATATTTCCCTCCATTAACTTTGCTTACACAATGATCACTAACACTCACACCACTAGATTATGATGACTCGGTCAGTCTGCCAGTCATTTGGCTCATGGTGGTTTCACCCTGCCTTTAGTTTGTCCATAGCCCAATATTCTGCATTTCTGGTGACTAGGTTAGTTCATGGGTTCGTAGGGTTGTTCAAAGTTAACTGCTGGGTGTTGGCCTCATCCTCAACACGTTCCTTTCTCCTTCTTGGGGTGGTGGAGTTAATTTTAAGTGGCTTGTGAATATGGGGGGTGAGGGTGAGGGTTGGCTGGCTGGAGCCATAGGTGACCTGAGCTGCCACCAAGTGGAAGGCTGGCACAACCTTATCTGGTGTGTTTACATCGAGGCAACGATCATTCTTTTTGGGGGAGGGGGATTGGATAGATCTGTGATACCCAAGCTTCTTTTGCCTTATAGAGAAAGCGTTGGGGAGATACTGAGGGGGAGCCCTTGCAGAAAAGGGCATATCATTACAGTGTATGCTTGATTTTTGAGGGTCCTTCCTTTCAATAATTGTAATTACATTTTTTGTTTTATTTCTAAACCCATGTACAGGGGGTGAGAATAGTTGGTGTAAATGAGGCTTGGAGTGAGCTGGGAGTGGCCTCACATCAGCTCAGATTCACCGAGAGAATTGAAGTAGATGATCACGGCCCAGTCCCAGCTCTGACGTCTTCTATGCACACACTCCTCTCCCAGTGAGTATTTCATGCTAGTTAGTTTTGTCTCTGGCCTTCTACTGTAATAATAGCATGAAAGAAGCTAATGAGTGGCTCTTGGGAATAATCTGTGTAATTAAATACTGTTCAAATATCTGGCTGCATGTAGTAAAATTGCCGTGTGTAGGATGACTATTGGCAGAATAATAATTTCACAATTTACGAAATGAGTAAAATCGGCAAACATTCTGATATTGAAGATGGGCATTTGATTCAGCATAAATATACACATGCAAGACATGTAATTAATTTAAAAGTTAATTACACTATTTTGTATTTTCATGGGGTGGGAAGGCAAGGACCCAGAGGGAGATAGATTAGTGCAGAAGGAAGACTAAGTATATCTAAAAATTGTGGAGTTAGATATACACTTTGTGTTAAGAAAGTGCAACTGTGCAAGACTATAATAGGATGTTTTTGTCAACTTGCAGTAGCTTTAGTATATTTCTGTGGGGAGCCCCTACGGCTCCCTGGAGCTTATCGGGCTAATGTGTGTTATGTTAGACCGGGACATTAGCTAAGGAGTTCAGACCTACCAGGGACCAGCGCCAGAACCTGGCCCCTTCAGAGAGGTTTCAGGGAGCAATGGCCCTGGAAAACCCCATATGGTTGGGGGTTTTCCTTATCTGCCATCGACCGGGGTTAGGCACCCAGAAAGGTAGGCGTAACAAAACAAACCCCACATGGTAAGAAACTACAACAAAAACCGAACAGAGAGGTAGAAAACTCCCTACAATCCCAAGGAAACAAGCAAACAAGCAAACATCACACTTTACTGCCGCGCCGATCGTCCGCGCAGCCCTCCCCACCCCGGGAGGGGGAGGGGGGAGCCCCGGACCTACCGCGCCGGCTGCCAAGCTCCAGTTCGTTCGCTAATGTCAACCGGGATTGACGCTTCTCTGGCCTCAGTTTCCTAGGCGGTGTTTGCCTTGTGTGGCGTTCACTGCCGTGTGTTGTGGTGTGCGGTGGCCAGGAGTACTTCATCAGTGCCGGGGCTGCATGTGCTTAGTGGCTGACTTCCCTAAGCGCCCTGTGAGTACTGCCCTTGCGTTACAGGGTTATCTTCCCTGGGGCGTTCGGGAACCATTCCCGTAGAGGTTCTTGCTGCTCGGCATTTGCCTCGCCCTTGGGGCCAGCTGGGGCTTGGGGCCCTTGTTTGGCCCTGGGTAGGGATTGGTATTGTGCTGGTTAGGGCGTCAAGGTGTTGCGCAGCCTGCCACCTAAGCGGCGGCCGGTTTCTGTTGCCTCTGGAGACGGTGTACTTTTGCGGGGTTTTTCTTTTGTTTTTAATTTCTTGCCTGGTGGGGGTCTGCCTAAGGTGGTTATAGTTCCACTGGTAGTGTTTGGCGGCCCTCTGCTAGGCCCCCGTGCTTGTACACGTCTCGAGGGGTTTTCAGTGCTATAATCTACCCTCTTGTTATGTTTGGGTTTCTTACCCGGTTAGCAACACCTTGCCCGGGCTTCCCGTAGTTGTTACCCTACGGGCCCTGGAAACCCCTGTCTGGGCTCGGGGGACCTTTGAATGTGTCTTCCGGGTTCCAACCCGTCTTGTACGGGATCGTTGGTTGCTGTTCCCTTGTCTCCGGGTGACAGTCGCCATTTTTACCTCCGTCATGCTGCCTGTTGGGTCACTGACACCTTGACCCGGAGTCTTGCGAGTGATTCTCTGCTTGTTCTCCAGTACTCTCCTGATGTTATTACTGTTCAGAGTACAGGTGGCATCCGTGTTGCAAGCTAGGTTAGGTTGCTGCAACATGCTAGGTTGGTTTCCCACTCGAATGCCCCGTGGCCGCCCCGTTTGGTTAGGTGCTGCTCGCCCCTTTCTCTCCATGTTCCCGGCTCCGGACCGTCTGCGTGTTTCTGGGTCGGGGCGGGGTTCAGTTGCGGCAGAGACTCGGGCGGTTTTCGGGGGATGCCCCGTTCGGGTTGGGGACGGAGGTTTGAGCCTGTGCCTCCTGCCAAGGCTTCTGGGTCTTACCAGCGGCCCTTTCTTGTTGCCTTTCCCATGGGCTCTTGCTTTTCTTTCAGGGCGGAGGGCTTGGAGGACGGCTCTGCCCCGGGGCCTCTGTTGTTGGTTCCCGGGGCTGTGGGGGATGCCTCCTAGCAGTTCTGGGGCGGTTTTGCCCCTTCAGGGGTTTTTCTGCTGTTGGGCGTCGTTTTTCGCCCTTCCAGTCTGCTAGCTTCCCACATTTGCTGGCGTGTTTTTGTGTATTAAGCGTCAGTCACAGCCCCTGCTGGCGGCCATTTTCGTCTGCCGGTTTCCCGGCGTGGCCACCAGGGCGGCGTTGCGATTTGTTTACATGCGTCTGGGTGTGCGAGCGAGCGTCTCTGGTGAGTTTTCACAAAATTTGCAGGGTTTTTGTTCTCCTGTTGTCGTTTCTTTGTTTTTCTGGTGTTTTCTTGCCGTTGCCTGTTCCTCTGGGAACGTTTGGGTGTTGATTTTGGGTCTGAGCCTCTGGGTTTAGGCTCAGTGTATGCTTACTATATATTTAGGCTGGTATGCTTGCTCCCACACCTTGCCCCTCGGTTTTCGGTCTGTTGGGACCGTTTTCCCAGGGCGTTCTGCTGGGGTCTGTGCTTTGCCTTTTAGTGGTGTTCTCCGCCGGCAAATGTGGTGGTTTGGGCTCCCCCTGGTTCGATTCTGGGTTCCTTTGGGTTCCTTGGTTTCGTTCTGGAGGATTCTTCCTCTTGGGCCCCCTTTTGTGGGTTCAGGGGACTTTGTTTCCTCGTGTGACCCGGTTCTGCCTTTTGGGGTTCCGGGGTCTTCCTGGCTTGCAGACTGAGCTTTTTGGGTCTTGGCACATGTTGTGGTTGTGCTGGGGCTTTGTGGTTTTGCTGTCGAGGTGGGCCTTTTGATGCAGTTTTGTGCCTTCTTTGCCTGGCCGGCGTAGTGCTCTTTGCCACTAGTCGGCGGCTTGTGCTTTTACAATGTGTCCTCACCTAGTTGTGCTTGTGGGGGTTGGGCTCTGGCTCCTTGGTCCTGCCTCTCTACCGTCCGTCAACAGGTGTATCGGTTCCTGTGCCTCTTGGGCTCTGTCATGTCTACATGTGACATTGTATGGGGGTCAGCCTCGTTACTTGTGTGAGGGGTCGCCACATTACTTCTTAGTGCTTTCCCGTTCCCGTTCTGACACTAAAAAAAAAAAAAAAAAAAAAAAAAAAAAACTAATTCTATCTGTGGCTCTTTTGGGTACTCAGTTTCCACCTGTGTCCCCTAGTGCGTGTGCCCCTTGTGTTACATATCCTGTCCTTCTCAACCCTGTCGATTCCCTTGGGTATCTTGTATGTGGTGATCAGGTCTCCCCTCACTTCCTCTTCCAGCGAAGTGTGGTTTCATTCCCGTAGTCTCTCCTCATGACTTCGGTAGTGTACTTTTTCTTTCTGAAGGGTTCTGTTCCCTTCTCTGTTGACTGGGCGCTGGGGGAGCAGCTTGCTCTGTTGCCTCTCGCTTGGTCCCGCTGTTGGTGGGCGCTTTGGGTTGTCTTCCGGCCTCTGCTGGCGTCGGAGGACGGCTTCTCCCCCTTGGGGGGGGTTCAGAGCTGGCGGGGTGGGCTTCTTCCCTGCGCTTCGTCATTTCCTCTTCGTGGGTGCGTGGGGCGTGGTCGATCCGCCCCATCCTTCTAGGCTTCCCGTCTGCTCTTTGCAGTCATGCGCTTTTCCAGTCTGCAGTTCTTCTGGACTACTACCGTCTGCGCCCTGGATCCTCTGCCCTGCTCGGAGGACTGTTGTCTCCTGTTCGGATTCTGTTAGGGCCGGGTGCATGGATGGTGGACCTGGACCTCCAGGTCACTTCTTGGCACGTTCCTCTCCAGTTTTTCTGGGGCTAGCACGGTTGGTAATTACCTATGTGTACTTACCTAAGTGTAGTTACAGGATGAGTGCTACTCTCGTGGTGTCCCGTCTTCCCAGCACTCTTTGTCATATAATGCTTTGATTATAATTGTCATATTGTCATATAATGATTGTCATATGTCATAATGTCTTCATATGATTGTCATACAATGCTTTGGTGTTGGGGCTTCAGGTTTGCTGTTTTTATTGCATTCCCTATTTTGTGAAGGGCACTTTGTATACTCTTTGCATCTTTACCGGATCTTAGTGCCCTGTCTGCGTCTGAGATTCGGTGTCTGGCCTACCTCGACGACTGGCTGGAGTGGGCTCCCAGTCAGTCCGCTTGTCTGCTCGCCAGGGGATGGTTCTTTCCAGATCGCTGGGTTTGGTTTCCTGGTGATCTGGAGGTTTTACCTTCTGTTTCCGTCCCGGGTTCGGACCTGGGCCTTGTTTCAGGCTCTTGGGCCCCTCATTGTCTTCCCTCCAGAAGTGTTACTGTGGCTGTGGTCCCGCCTTTGGCTGTTCAGGAGGGGGTCCCGGGTTGCTCAGCGGTTGCTTGGGCGGTTGTGCGGGAGTTTGCACTTCGGCGTGCTTGTCTGCCCGCGGAGTCGGGTTTGGCTCCGGCGTCGGTTGGTTCCTCCGGAGACTCCACTTCCGCCTCTTGCATTCCTTGGGTTCCTCTGGGGATCTGGTGTTGGTGCTGCGTCACCAGCTTCCTCTTTGGGGTTTTCGGGGTTCCGTGCCTTGGCGGCTCCCCGAGCCTTCGCTCGATGTGTTCACGGACGGGTCGTCTCTCGGCTGGGGCTTTGTGACCAGTGCTCACCAGGTCGGCCGAGGTTGATGGAGTCTGTCTGTCCGTCGGGCTCACAGCCCGGTTCAGGTGTTCATGGCTGTCTGGTTTGCGCTTCGGAGGGTTTGGGTCACTAGGTACTCTACCGTTCAGCTCTGTTTGGACTGTTCTCTGGTGGTTCTTGCCGGAACCACAGGGGGTTTGGTTAACCGTGTGGTTCGTGTCCGGGGTGTGTCCTGCGTCCTGGTGGACAGCTGTCTCGGTTCATTCCTCTTCGTGGGTTGGCCAGTCGTCGCCGATTCGTTTTGTTGGCTCTGTTGGGCTTATGGACTCCTGGCCATGGACGTCTTCGGGTCGGCGTGGTCTAGGCGTCGCCCGTTTTGTGGCGCCCTTCCCACCTGCGAGGACTTCACGGTGGAGGCTTTCGGCAGGCCTGGTCGAGGTGGGGGGTACCTGTACCTCTTCTCCCGGTCCAGCTGTTGCTTCGGGTTCTGGCTCAGTTGCAGCCCATTCCCACGAGAACAGTCATTATGGTTCCACTGTGGCCGGCCCGGCCTTCTTTTCAGACGCTGCTTGATAGGTGTCCGTACCCGGGGCGTTTTTCCTGAGGCTTCGCCTCTTTCAGCAGGCCGAATCGGTCCTGTCCGTGACTGGTTCGGCCTTCTCTTTGGCTCTTCGCGTCTGGTATTTTGACGCAGGTGTCGCCATCTCTATGGTGTTCAGGTGGCTTTGTTGACGGTGTCCCACCTGCGAGCTTCGTCTTGGAGACTGTATGACGTTTATTACGTCTTCTCGCGTTTTGTTTCCCCTCCGGCCTGCTCATGAGTCGCCTGAGCCATCCTGGTCCTTGTTCAGGGTGCCTTCTTCTCTTCCCCTCAGTTTGTGGTAGCCCCTTCGGTTTCAGTTTCCTCCTCTTTGGTACGGGTGGTAGCTTTATTGGTGTGCAGCCTTTCTCTGTCCTGGCGACGGTCGAGACGGCTGCTTTCCGGAGGGGTTCTTGGGGTATTGGTACTTGTTTGGTTTGGCCGGGGGGTGCGTCCTGTGTTGTCCAGTTGTGCTTTTTGCTGTTGCCGGCGTACCGTGCCTGGGGATGCGCTGTGGTTGATCCGGTTCCTTCGTTCCCTGTTTTCAGGGCTTGGGTCTCCCGGGTCGTCCGCAGTGTTTTCCTTCTTACTGCGGTCTGTCTTTGCGCCCGTGCTGTTCAGACGTTTACAGCAATTGCTGCTGTGTTGGTGACGTCTCGGGCTCATTTCGGGCGCAGGGAATTGTGGGTCGCACAGGTTTTTGGCCGCCCATCCATGTGTGCGTCTGTTCTTGGGCGTTCTTGTTGCCTTGGGTCGCAGGTTTGCGACCGGTTGTCTTGGCTTTGCGTTGCAGAGTTTGTGGCGGCCGCCTCCCGGGTTAGCCCTTTCTTTTCCTTCTCTTTGGGTATGAAGCTCCAGGGAGCCGTAGGGGCTCCCCACAGAAAACCAGCGTTGAATGTAATGAAACGCCATTTTCTGGGTGAGCCCCGGAGGCTCCCTGGAAACCCTCCCTCCCACCGGTCGGCGGTTTTTTCGCGTTGGTTGAGGCTTAGCTTCCGAACTGGAGCTTGGCAGCCGGCGCGGTAGGTCCGGGGCTCCCCCCTCCCCCTCCCGGGGTGGGGAGGGCTGCGCGGACGATCGGCGCGGCAGTAAAGTGTGATGTTTGCTTGTTTGCTTGTTTCCTTGGGATTGTAGGGAGTTTTCTACCTCTCTGTTCGGTTTTTGTTGTAGTTTCTTACCATGTGGGGTTTGTTTTGTTACGCCTACCTTTCTGGGTGCCTAACCCCGGTCGATGGCAGATAAGGAAAACCCCCAACCATATGGGGTTTTCCAGGGCCATTGCTCCCTGAAACCTCTCTGAAGGGGCCAGGTTCTGGCGCTGGTCCCTGGTAGGTCTGAACTCCTTAGCTAATGTCCCGGTCTAACATAACACACATTAGCCCGATAAGCTCCAGGGAGCCTCCGGGGCTCACCCAGAAAATGGCGTTTCATTACATTCAACGCTGGTTTTATGTCTAATAAGATTGTAATCATTAATGGTACATAGTACTAGATAACAAATAGTCTTATTTCTTTGCTTCTGTTCCACACTTAAATCATTCATAAATGGTATGTTACAGGAAGCTGGGAGCATCCCAGGTACAGGCAGTGAGTGAGTGCCAGCTCTCAGTAGCTGACTCTGTCTTCATCAATATTCGTGATGATGATTCCGGCAGGGCTATCCTTCTCTCTTGGACGCACCAGGTGAGTTGACAGTGAGTGCTGGTACAAAATGTTGTTGGTTACTTCCCCATGATGACCACTCCAATTGTCAGGTGCTGTTTATAGTTTTTATTTATAATATAAAGGTTAGCTTGTTTTTAAAAACTTGCCCAGCTGAAGTGCTATTTAATATTCCCGTGTTGGAAGACGCCAGGCAGACTGGGTCACCCAGCTGCTCTACCCTCAGTTCTTGCTGATGGTAGTGTGAGAGGTCTCCCCCCCCTTCACTCTGTTCCCCATGCTCTGCTTCAGCTAAGTGGTGGTTTTTTCCTTTGAGGCTGTTCAAATGTACATTTGTGCTCTCTGAACCAGGAGTATAGGATGCTTGGAGCTGCATGTGCGCAGGGTTTTCTTCTCTGTGTGTTACCTAGCACTGCCCTTGTGCTGCCAGGGCCCCTCTTCCCTGGAGTGTTGGGGGTTTGCTCCCTTATAAGGCTTCCTTGCTTGTGGTGGTCCTGCCCTGGGCAAGTTAGTTTGTTTTTGACTTTCTGTTTTAGGTTTTCTGTCGTCTCTGGGGTCGGGATCATATTTTGGCTGGCGGGGTGCACTGGGATTCGTGTGATCTAACCATGGCATACTGAGATTGGCCTTCTGAGCCTCTGGTGAGTTGGGTTAGTCAACTTAGGCCTGTTACAGGGTCTATCCGACTTTCCTTTCTTGCTTAAAAAAAAAGGGAGGGCCTCTTTCATAATTGGGGTTCTGGTGAGGTAATTGCAATGCCTGGGATTCCTGCAAGGCCATTCCCTGCAGACCCTGGCAAACCCTTGTGGGTTCAGTGGTCCACTGGATATCCCTGCCTAATCTGGGCTTGCTTTAAATGAGTTCTAGGGTTGTGCATCAGCTGTGCCACATGGCAATGCTCATCCTTTTCTGCCTTCACCATGCTGCCTGCTGGCAGAATGGTGGAGGACGCTGGCACCTTCAACTCGAGTCATGTGAGATTTAGTCTCTGCATATTGCTTACCTAACAAACCCTTGTGATGATATTCAGGGTTTTTTACGCAGAGACTGCTTTACGCTTGACATTTTCTGTTTTACAGTGGTCTGAGTTGTGTGCTTAGGTGGATGCCATGGCACTGCCCCGGTTGGTGTTTAAGGTTTCAGAACTGGAGGTGTTGGTTCATTCAGCCGTGGATCGATTCCAAGATCCTGGCTAAACTAACTCTCAACCACCGATCACATCTCTGTCGTGACCTTCTCAAAACCTGGCAACTGCCGAAACGCCAGGCTATCTGTTATGTGAACACGCCATGCCTTGGCTTTTGCCAAAAGATTGTGACATGACCTGGTCACCTGGCATGATCTCACACCCTTAAGGATCTGACCTCTGTTAATCTCCTTGACCACCGCTGTCTCCACACAGTTTGAACCACAAACCACTGGTCATTCACTCCTACTCATATGCTGGAGAGTCTTAATAAATTCTCTAGCTAAATATATATAATTTTTAGATCGCAACACACTTCCTTTCCCTTCAGGCAGGGAGCCCTCCCTCTTCTAGCCCCCCCTTGCTTCAGGCCCCGATGCATCTGAGGGTTTCGAGGTCGGGGCTAGCTTTAGCTCAGGATGTGGCTTGGTCATCTCCGGGGGTTCACCACTTCCAACTTGGGTGTGGAAGTAGTTGTGCCTGATGATCCTGCCGAGTCTTCTGGGTCATTCTTTTCTTCCAGCCCCAATCTTTGAAGCCTTTACCTTGGAATTCTCTTCCCTCTCCCAGGCAGTGGGATACTGGCTCTGCTCTGGAGGCCCTTAGTTGTGGTTCCCATTGATGGTCCTATTTTTATCCTTCGTGGATGATAGTCTCTTCTGTGGTGGGCCTTCTTTGTAGTGTACGGGGAATTACTTTTCCCTTACCCTGTACGAGTTGATGTGGGTATGGCTCGCCCCAGGATTTGTTTCCGGGTGCCCTTTGTGGTTCTGGGAGTATAAGGATGAGGTTTGGGAGTAGAAATTTCAGAACCTCCCAGGTATATTCTCTCCCTCACCAAATGGTTCTGGTCAGAGGTCTGTGTTTGTTCAGTCGAGATGCTTCCCCTGCACCTAGCCTACCTGGTCATCTGTGGACAATCCAGGCAGCCAGCATCCCTCACCCACATTCTTTTCTCAAGAACTCATTTGTTTGGGTTATTCATTCATGTCTGTACTCAACACTGCTATATGTGGCATTCCTGTGTTCACTATTAATGGTCATTTGTTCCATCATTCCACCTGTTGTGTCGGGAGTCTTTTTGCCCTTGGGTGTGTACTGTTTTCGGTATTGGATTTTTGTTCATCCTCTCAAGAAGTGGTTTGCCAGATTATCCTATCAGGAAGTGGGTTAACAGGCTGCAACCTTATTGTGAGATTGCACTTTTTCAGTTCCAGCTACTGCATCCAATGGTTGAGATAAGTGGTCTTGTGCAGATGATGAGTCACAATAACGTGGCTGAAATATGTTGACCAGACCACACACTAGAAAGCGAAGGGACGACGACGTTTCGGCCCGTTCTGGACCATTCTCAAATCGATTGTGAGAATCGACTTGAGCATGGTCCAGGACAGACTGAAACGTTGTTGTCCCTTCACTTTCTAGTGAGTGGTCTGGTCAACAAGTGGTCTTGCAGCTGATTTTATAATGGTGGATGTTGCATGCTTGTTTTGACCATGGTTCCATATTTTCACTGGCTTCCTTGGCACTATCAGTTTTGGACAGTTCTTTGGCTTCCAAACCTCCCCAATTGGTCTCCGCTATTAAGCAGCTTCAACTCCTGGAGTTTGCAGGTGCCACTGAGCAACAGACTGATGGGGGCCTTTAAGGGCTGCCCGGCCAGGGGTTTTAATGGAGGCGGCGGTGCCCTCTATTCCCTCCTTATCTCCCTTTTTCCTGCATTGGCAGTGCTGAAAATGTCATTTGTCCATGATTGCTATGATCTTTGTCCAGAGGATCCAGTAGATCTTACCTTAGGGAACAGAAGAATGGTATTACTCAAGACATTTTTCATATTTACTGCAAAATTTAATTGGTGTCTTTTTTTTTTAAGTATAATATCTTGGATATGGCAATTGTACCATGATTATCTTTGATAGATATACTGTATATCCTTTCATCCTTCCTTTCAGGATGAGGCCCTTGGAAGCAAACTCTTAGACATCATAAAAACTACTTACAAGAAGTAATAATCCAGAAAGACTTCTTAGTACATATTCAGAGAACATGTATGAATTTCAGTGGTAAGCAATAAACAAAAATATTGTGCAGATCTTTTGAGTACTGTTCAATTTTTTTTTTCATTTGTGTTGCTCTTTGAGGGAGGGATCTCCCCAGGAGGAGAATATCTCATCTGAATCCTGCCCATACTTTTGTATCATGAAATAGGATGTTTAGTGTATTACCATGTTCTTTAGTCTCCACCAGTATTTCGTTCCTCTCAATTCCAATTCCTAGATGTAGTCACAATGCAATCCTATTTCAGATGAACATATTTTAAAATGTATTTTATATCTATTAAAAGTGTTACTTTTTATGAAGCTATTTTCTTTTGCCTTAAAATTTTGTTCTATGTACAGTACAGTAGTCTAAATGCAAATATTAGGACAAATGAATCAATGAAGTTGGTAAATTTGAGTGCTTTTAGGTTTCTGCTGCCTCCATTATGGCCATGTAATCAATGTTGAATGTAATCATACGGCTCTTTCTCGAGTGACCCCAGTCTGGCCCCATAAGTGCGCAGCAGAGAGCAGGGATCTACTGATCTCCTCTGTGGTAAATCCTCAACGGTGATGAGTGATTAATAACCCTTAAACATAAAATACAGTACTCTAATGCTTTATAAAAATTAAATTCTATGTTCGTAAACAAATAGAGATCATAACATAACAAGACTGCACAGCAAGGCCCTGGTAATGCCACCAGGACGCTCCTGGCTTTATACCATAGCAGTCAAATCAACCAATCAAATCACCTGCTAGCTACCAGTAGCCCGCAGGTGCTACTGGTAGTATAATACAGGAGTATTATAGATGCAACATGGCAACCATTAATATAATAGATATAATAGAGAAAGCAGCTTCAGTTGCCTGCAGGAATGGATCCAGACTTTTAATCGTGGGTGACTTCAAATGTGCCAAGAAAGACTTGGAGAATGGAGAATCACACAGAGGTGCAGATACATGGAGAGCTAAACTATTGGATATTTCAACAAGAAACTTCCTGAACCAACATGTCAAGGGACCCACAATGACGAACCAGCAAGACTGGTTCGTTATTGACCTGATATTCCAACTCGTCCTCCTAATAGAGCGTCACATTTTAACGCATACTCTACCTAAAGCAAAAAATCATCATACTAGAAAATGGTAGCAGCTCGCAAAATTGGCATATTGTCCTGGTTTCTGTTTTGGGTCCTCTGGTAGGTTAGGATAGGGCACTTTAGTACAACAGTTTATTGATGTTGGGAGACCTTAGGAGAACAAGCTAGATACTCACCCTGAATGAGTCAGACAAGGGAAGTCAAATTAGAAGCCCCCATTGGAATGAGTGACCACAGCATACTGACATTTGAGTATCTGGTGGAAGTAGTGATAACCTATCAATGAAAGGGTTCAGAAAGGAAAAGACTGGCCTACTAAAGATGAAACTATGATGAAATGAAGAAATTCCTAATGGGAATACCATGGGAAACAGAACTCAAAGAAAAGACTGTACAAATATGATGGACTACATCACCCAGAAGTGCCAGGAAGCAGCAGACAAGTTTATCCTAGCCCAAAAGGAGAAAAATGAAAAGCAACGGAAGAAGCCATGGTTCATTCAGGCATGTAAGGAAGCAAAGCAAGCTAAGACTCCACCAAAACTGCTCCACAGCCACATCAGGAGAAGAACAGCAGTGAAGGAATATGTGATGAAGCTGAGAAAAGGGAAAACAGATACACAAGGCAGTGTGTAAAGAACTCAACAAGAGATTCCAGGAGGTCTTCACAATAGAGCAAGGAGAAGTACTGTACTGAGAGAGAGGAGGAAGTAAACCAAGCAACCTTTGAGGAATTTGAGCTTACCAGTGATGAGGTCAAAAGGAATCTGTTGGAGATGGATGTGACAAATGTTGTTGGGGCTGACAGAATCTTACAATGGATACTAAAAGAGGGCACAGAATCAATGTGTGTCATGCTCTATGGAGAATAACAGGGGACCTACTGGAAATGTAGGTCTCCTGTTAATGTAGTCCCAATATACAAAAAGGGTGACAGGCAAGAGGCACCTAATTACAGGCTAGTTTCCCAAACTTGTATACCATGCAAGGTGATGGAGAAGATCGTGAGGAAAGAGCTCGATGAACAGGTACAGAGAAGGAGCTTTGTAATGCCACCAGCATGGGTTCAGAGATGGTAAATCATGCATTACAGGTTTAAATGAATTCTATGACCCGGCAACATAAAATAGACAAAGAATAAGGTGGGGAAGACTGCACTTTCTTACTGTCAAAAAGCCTTTGACACAGTACCCCATAAGAGGCTGGTACAAAAATTGGAGAAACAGGCAGGAATAATGGGTAAAATGCTCCAGTGGATAAAGGATTATCTAACCAACAGAAAACAGGAAGTTACTGAAAAGGTGAGACCTTAGAGCGGTCTCCACCAGTGGAGTCCCACAGGGCTCTATACTTGGACTCATGCTGTTTCTGATATATGTAAACAATCAATCTTCCAGAGGGTATAGACTCGTTCCTCTCAATGTTTGCTGATGATGCCAAAATCATGAGAAGGATAAAGACAGAGGAAGATAGAAAGAGACTACAAGACAAACTCGACAAACTGGAGGAATGGTCCAGAAAGTGGCTACTAAAGTTTAACTCAAGTAAGTGTAAAGTAATGAAATTATTCGAAGGGTGCAGGGTACACAAGGTACCCGAACACAAGGTACCATCTGGGAGGTGAAATCCATCAAGAGTCAAATAGAGAGAAAGATCTGGGGGTTGATATCACACGGAACCTGTCCCCAGAAGCCCACATCAAGAGGATATCATTAGCTGTGTATGCTAGGTTGGCCAACATAAGAACTGACTTTAGAAACTTGTGTAAAGAATTATTCAGAACCTTGTATACCATTTATGTCAGACCAATCCTGGAGTATGCAGCTCGAACCTGGAGTTCATACCTAGTTAAACACAAGACAAAGTTAGAGAAGATTCAGAGATATGTCAGCATACTAGTCCGAGGGCTGAGACGTATGAGTTACGGGAATTAAACCTCGCATCCCTTCAAGACAGAAGAGTTAGAGGAGACATAATCACCACCTATAAAAGTCTCAAAGGAATTGACAGCGTGGATAATAACAAAATACTTAGCACGGGTGGAACACAAACAAGTGTCAGAGTAGTTAACAGGTGGAATGCATTAGGCAGTGTTGTGGTGGAGGCTGACTCCATACACAGTTTCAAGTGTAGATATGATAGAGCCCAATAGGCTCAGGAATCTGTACACCTGTTGATTGACAGTTGAGAGGCGGGACCAAAGATCCAGAGCTTAACCCCCGCAAGCACAACTAGGTGAGTACATCCCCGATGTTCAACATGTTTGCTGATGATGCAAAAATTACGAGGAGGATTAAATCAGAGAAAGATAGTATGAGGCTACAAGATGACCTAGACAAACTGAATGAACGGTCCAACAAATGGCTACTAAAGTTCAACCCGAGTAAATGTAAGGTGATGAAACTAGGCGGTGGAAACAGGAGGCCAGACACAGGATACAGAATAGGAGATGAAGTACTTAATGAAACGGACAGAGAGAAAGATCTAGGAGTTGATATCACACCAAACCTGTCTCCTGAAGCCCACATCAAAAGAATAACGTCTGCGGCATATGCGAGGCTGGCTAACATCAGAACAGCGTTCAGGAACCTGTGTAAGGAATCATTCAGAATCTTGTACACCACATACGTAAGACCAATCCTGGAGTATGCGGCCCCAGCATGGAGCCCGTACCTTGTCAAGCACAAGACGAAGCTGGAAAAAGTCCAAAGGTATGCTACTAGACTAGTCCCAGAACTAAGAGGCATGAGTTATGAGGAAAGGCTGCGGGAAATGCACCTTACGACACTGGAAGACAGAAGAGTAAGGGGGGACATGATCACTACCTACAAAATTCTCAGAAGAATTGACAGGGTAGATAATATCAACTATTTAACACGGGTGGTACACGAACAAGGGGACACAGGTGGAGACTGAGTACCCAGATGAGCCACAGGGACGTTAGAAAGAACTTTTTCAGTGTGAGAGTAGTTAACAGGTGGAATGCATTAGGCAGTGATGTGGTGGAGGCTGACTCCATACACAGTTTTAAATGCAGATATGATAGAGCCCAATAGGCTCAGGAGTTTGTACACCAGTTGATTTTTTTTCTACCACAGACGTGGCCAGACATTTACAAAACTAACCAGCATATATACATTTTCTTCTGTCCTCCATGGACAGGGTGAGAGATGTGTTAAACATATAGTTCAGGGATTTATTAGACAATCAACCACAGAAGGTGATTCGGTGCTGTTAAAATGCTAATTAGCTAACCTACATACGTAAATACACAGATTTACGTATGCCCTACATAAAGTGTTCGATGTGTCTTTTACATAGTGTCATTAATGTGCATTTACAAAGGTGAAATGTAATTTTGATCAGCTTTCATATATACTTTATACACATACATATACACACACACACACACATACACACACATATACACACACACACACACATATACGTACATATACATATACACATACATATATACACACATGCATTTACATACATTTGTCTCTTTTACTCTGACAGGGTGAGATAGCTGATAGAGAAACTAGTGTGCAATTAAGCACTTAATCACTGAAGGTGATTAAGGTGCTTGATTGCACCTTGATCAGTTGATTGACAGTTGAGAGGCGGGGCCAAAGAGCCAGAGCTCAACCCCTAGTAGGTGAGTACATGCTTGCTAGTCCACATGCCTGCTGCTCCGGCCGTAAATCATCACCCACCTCCTATTTTCTTCCAACATTAGACACGAATCGTCATATCAACATTGCACTGATAGACAAAACAAAAGATAAATATTTAAAATTGTTGGCGTGTTAAGTATTTGGAGTGCGCGTGTGGGGGCGGCGGGTGAGTGAGCCTTGAAGGGGGACTATATTAGCCGGCAAGACTTACGGCTTCTCCTCCATGTTGCTTCACAGCACCAATTTGTCATAGTCAGTTTTATGGAGTCATTAACTCTACACAACAAGAGTTTTGGCATTTATAGTGTTCAGAATTATACAATATTACCCAAAAATATATACTAGAATCGTGCAAAATGGAAAGCAAATTTTCAGGCTTTTTTTTAGCCTATTATTTCTTCTAATTATCTCTTGTTTAAATATTTTTTAAATTTATCCATCATATATATAATTTTGGTGGACAAGCGGAGTTGATGCCTTGTTCCGTGAGTGAAATATTGTGTAAAGCAGTCAGAGGAAGCGCACCACAAGGGGAGT